AGATGCACACTGTCACACCTTTTTTCTAATAACTGAACAATTCAAATGTCATTTCCTATGAATATTTAAAAAAATTGACTATATTTTAAAAACCCCTCCTTTATCCTGTACTTTATAAGAATGCACAATTCTTAATGTGTCCATATAAATTAAAATGTAAATTTTTAACAGCATCCCCAAAAGTAGATTGGATAGGGAATTCCACTGATCAGCTAAAATATTAGAGCTTTTTCTCCTGGGAGTTGGGAAGTGCCAAAACAGCAGAGGGTGACCCAGGAAAGCACACGGACGCAGATGCCTCGTCAGCAAAGTGTTACAAAAATCCAGCAAACCTGATGCCCTGGGCTGATCTCCATGAAGGTAGCACAGGCACAAAGGAAAAAGCCCACTATCAGTAAGATCTCTAAGAGACATTTAATCACGTGGCATAGTGCGGTCATCTTCATATGTGTACACCTCTAATACACTCTACGTATTTCCCAGTCCTAGTCTCTCTCACTCACACACACACACCATAGGTTAGTAGAGCATCAATTATAAACCATAATTCTCAAGAATCAGACTCCGTAAAATAGACACAGTGTCTCCCCATTACAAATAACAAGATCAACTGAGAGGAAAGAAAACAGCTTTTACACACACACATGCATACACGCTAGAGTGAAATATGGGGTCCCCACTATCCCCAGGGGACCCATTCCTGCACCCTCAGTGGGTACTACAGAACCCCATGGGAGAGCCCCGCCCACAGCACCGAGGCAGTCCCGCTGATAAGCAGAGCGTCCACTAGCTGACTCCTGGGCGGACGCCACGCACAACGTGGATCCCAAGGATGAGTCACCTGGGCTGGGCAGGGCCAGAGGGCACAAGATCGCTTCACACTGCTCAGGCAACTCACCACTGAAAACTCAGAAATCGTATGTTTCTGGGGTTTTTCATTCAGTAGTTCTAGACTGTGCAGGACCACAGTCTAGACACCTGGAACCAACAAATGACAAACTGCAGATAGGATGTGTGGTGGAGGCGGGCAGGGCGGAGAGGAGGGGTCAGCTACTGACAATGGAAGACTTCAAGTTCCACAAAATGAAGAAATTCAGATCCCAAGTGAAGAGTAGGCGCTAGTTTGAGTTTGGGACATGCGGAATCTCCAGGGACTGAGGAATGGGCTTCGCTTATTTTTAAAGTTTTTTTCTTTTTTTTTTTTTTTTAAATCTGAAAAGCTATGTGTGTGTATAAGAGAGAGCCAGAGCGAGAGCATGCGCTTCTATCTTCTGGTTCATTCTCCAAATGTTTCCAGTAGTCAGGCTGTATTTGCCCAAAGCCAAGAAGCCAGGTGCTCCCTCCTGGTCCCCCGCGTGGGTGGCAGGGACCCAAGTCCTTGGATCATCACCTGCCACCTCCCAGAATGTGTGTTAGTCAGAGCTGGGTTGAAAGTTGAGGCAGGGCTCAAGGTCAGCCACTAGCATATGGGATGTGGTGGTCCCAGAAGGTGGCTTAGCGTGCTATGCCACAAATAGCACACAATGAGAAGAACTGGGCTGGAACCAAACCACCTGCATAAAGCTTAGAGCCCAGTGAGCTTCTTGGCATGTGGGGAAGGAGTGCAGCAACACTCCACCCAATATTCCTAGGGAGTCAGATGACTTACTGGGGCTGCAGAGGGAGCACGGAACACCTTGGAAGTAATCCCTGCCCCAGGCACTCCTGTCACAGCTAAGGGAAGGGAATTCCCGCACCGCCGGAGTGTGGCCTGCTGGGAGTTTCCTGAGCCGGACAAGGATCAGAGACCCAGTGTGTTTGTGTCTTTCTGCCTGTCAAATGCAACTGAGAGAGAGAGAGAGACTAGGGGAGAGGGGACATGGTGCCATGGCGGCTTAGAATGGTGGCCACCTTTAATGCTGGCCACCATGTGGGCATAATTTGAGTTCCAGCTGCTCCACTTCCCAGCCAGCCCTCTGTTATGGGCTGGGAAAGCAGTGGCCCCTTCACCCATGGGGGGGACCCAGAAGAAGCTCCTGACTTGGATGCGGATTGGCTTTGGATCGGCTCAGCTCTGGCCATTGTAGCTATTTGGGGAGTAAACCAGCTATTGGAGGATTTCTCTGTTTCTCCTTTCTTCTATAACTCTGACTTTCAAATAAATAAACAAAAGGAAAAAAAAATCTTTAAAGAGAGAGAGCAGGGGATATCCAGTTATAATGGCAACTGGCATAGTTATATGTTGACTAAAAAACAAGTTACTCCAAAGCATAACATGATACACATTGTATCACACCATTTCTGGGCTCAGGTTTCTCCTGAGGCCATGGTGCCCTCACAGCCATGGATCTGCCACCCCTGAAGAAGTGAGTGGGGCTGCAGATGTTCCTCTCATGTACATGGCTCCGGCAGATACCTCTCCACAGGCTGTCCAAGCTCCAGGGTCCCCCAAAGGGGGTAAGAGGAGAGAGAGGGAGGGCCCAGACAGATGTCTGCTGGCTAAACTGGGCAGGTAGCTCAGCTCCACTCCCACCACAGCCTCTGGGTCACACAGAACAGTTGGAGCTGGTATTGTGGGACACAGGCTGGATACCAGGAGGCGAGAGTCCTGGGTGCTCCCGGACCACACATAGGGCACACCAGCAAATGGCCTGAGCTCCTCTCTTCCCCTCCTGCTCAGCTTTAAGCCCCTGGTCGCAGCTTTCAGCCAGGTGCCTGGCTGCCCCCAGGGGGTAAAGCCTTCCCCTTCTTGCCCACTTCGCTACTAGGTGTGGATATAAGGTGAGTAAGAAGTGACAGATGGAATAACTCCTTCCACCGATGCTGTAGGCCATCATGGACTATGAGAGCCAGCGCCACACCCTGGGGTTGGCAGGGCAAGAAGCCCAAACCAGACTGTGTTCCAGAGAAGTGGAGGCTTACCATACCAGCTTCGTGATGCTTATGTTTGTGGTCTTAGGAGATAGTCTAAATTGGCTAATAAGATACAAATAACAGATTTATAGGAGATATAATACATGCATAGGAAAAATGACTCTCTTAATGGCCATAAAGGAAGACCTAAATACGTGAGAGCTGGCCTGTGCCTGGGTTCTGGAGGTGGGGTGGGTGGGAGGACTGATCATTCTAAGGAACAGAATGAGGCAGTGCAAAGGAGCTCTGTGTTTAACTGTTCAGTACACACAAAAAATATTGCTGGGAGTTGGCAAATGTTAGCATTTAGTCTGTTTGAGTAGTAGGTACCTGGGTGTTTGCTTTCCTCCATTTCTTAAATATTTCATATAAAATAATTAAAAATAAATACCTGGTATAAGATTAAAGGAAGAAAAAAGAATTTGCAGCACCTCTCCTGAGGCTCGATTCTCAGCATGTTTATTCAATCATGGTGCTAGGTCATCGTGTTCTCAAAAGAGATGGGGAAGTGGAAAAAGGCCTGAGCTCTGGAGACAAACAGGACGTCTGAATGGCTGCCCTGCTTCCCTCACTTCCTGCATGACCTTTGGCAAGTCCTGTAACCTCTCTTTGTCCCTTGCATCTGGATAAAGGGATGAACCACCTGTGGCATGGGGCAGGTGGCTGGAGTTGCAGTTCATGTTCCTACGGCTCTGTGCTTATGACCCAGGTTGCTGCTGGGCGCCTGGGGGACAGCAGGTGATGGTCAGGGCCTGGGATGTGGGTCCTGGCTCCTGCTTTGACCAGCGCTGGCTCTTGTAGACACTTTGGGAGTGAGCAAGCATAAAAAATTTTCTCTGTCTTCCTCCTTCCCTGTTACTCCACCTTTCAAATAAATGAATATTTTTAAAAAGATTTATTTACTTTGTATTGGAAAGGCAGATTTAGAGAGAGAAAAGACGAAAGATCTTCCATCGAATGGTTCATTCCCCAGATAGCCACCAACAGCCAGAGTCAAGTCAATCCAAAGCCAGGAGCCAAGAACTAGTTCTGGGTCTTCCATGCCAGCACAGAGGCCCAAACACTTGAGCCTTCCGCCACTGTTTTCCCAGGCCATAGACACAGGTGAATCGAAAGGTGAACTGGACGTGAAGTAGTGCCCATATGGGATACCAGCACTTGAAGGTGGAGGATTAGCCTATTGAGGCACTGTGCCAACCCCTTAAATAAAGGAAAGGAAAGGAAAGGAAAAAGGAAAGGAGAAAGGAAAGGAGAAAGGAAAGGAGAAAGGAAAGGAAAGGAAAGGAAAGGAAAGGAAAGGAAAGGAAAGGAAAGGAAAGGAAAGGAAAGGAAAGGAAAGGAAAGGAAAGGAAAGGAAAGGAAAGGGAAAGGAAAGGAAAAAGGAAAGGAAAGGGAAAGGAAAGGGAAAGGAAAGGAAAGGAAAACTCAAATGCCCCCTCCTGCAGACCTGTGTCCTAAGGTTGCCTTCGACTATGGTGACTACCATTGAGAACAGCTGACATCACTTCTCTCCACACATTAGCAAGCTCCTAAAAATAACTCAAAAGCTACACCATGGCAATCAAAGTTTTTCTGACTGTTTCTGCTTGGTTCTACGATATAGAAGCCTAAGAGTTTCACCAGGACTTTTGCCTTGCTTCTTTGGTAGACAGGACTTCATCTGCTTCTACAGAATCTTGCTAACCTTCCTTCCGGTCCAGGCTAAGCACTGCTGCAGTGCTGTTAAGACTCTAGTTCCTGCAGCATGTGACCAGGTGGAGGTCTGCTTGTTCTGTGAGTGCTGGGTGGTCCTCAAGTACTGGGAGGACTAAGAAACGGTGAGCCACAGTGCGTTTTTCCATGGGTCTGATCTTCAAGATGACGTTCTTGCACAGTGTTGGAACTGTTAGGACCCAAGTGCTCAGGAAGGCCTTTGTGTCTGCAAGTGTCAAAATGGCATGCAAGTTATGATGTTTTTATGAGGCCATCATTGTGACTGCATCATTTGGATGTGACTATCTGATGAGGAAACGCACAATGCTTTTAGCCAGTTTTCATTTTATGTATGTTCCCAGATGCTTGATCTCTAACCCCACTTCCTGCTTCTTCCCTCTCTTCCTCCCTGCTAGGAAAGGCACCGATGCCCAGACCGGGCTACAAGCCTCAGGAGCCCAACGGCTGCAGCTCCCATTTCCTGGGTCTCAAGGTACCAGAAAGTGTATGCATGGCCTCACTGTCCTCCTGGTTGGCTGCTTCTGACTAAGCGTCACTTGAGTCCCCAGTGATGGTGGTGACCATTTATGGGGTCTGGATGAGCCGATGGTCTTGGCAGTTTAAAGTGAACATGAAGGAAAGGAGAGGATTTTTAAAGAAGATACCCATTTCTTTGCTGAGCCTCTGATATTGAATCAAAATGGTGACATCACCACCACAAACCTTGGTTAAGCCTACAACTTCATTCTTTAACTAAGTGGACCAATCCAGGGCTGGGCTGGTGCAGGCTCAGCCTGGCCCTCAGGAACCACGGTTGCAGCATCCTGACTTCCGCAGGTGGGGAGGGAGGGTTTATGTTACACACGACTGCCCACTTATCCTCTACTTGGTATGGAGGGAGTTTAGCCAGGGATAAAAAAAAAAAATGGGAGGGTGTCCCAAAACCTCCTGTCTTTGCAGCCCCACAGGTAACTCCACCCCCTGGCATGTCACTTCAATTTGCCCACTGGCCCAGGATGCACTTGCACTTCATCAGTGACCTGATGAGCTGTGGTCACCTATAAGGGACACCTGGAGGTGCCAGGCAGCTCCCAGAAAACCTCACACACATTAAACCTTACCCAGACTCCATGCTACTTGTACATCCAATTAGTGGAGGCATAATTACAGTGTGACAAGGAGAGCAAGAATTACTTAAAGCAAGAGAATGTATTCACTTGGGAGTGTGAGACACCCCATCAGAGGCCAGAGAAACACCTGTAGGGAGACAACAGGGTGGGTAGAGGTAGGGGAAGAGCAAGCCTCTCCCATGGCCTGAAGTTCCCTTGAGGAGGTGACCCCTGTTTACAAATGGCATGCAGTCTGGCCAGGGTTTGGTGTGTGTGAGGTTTCCTGGTGCCTCCACATGGGGTTTAATTCTCACACAGCCATCATGGCATCTCCTCCTTGCTAGTCCCCAATGAGTTGCTGATACAGGGGAAGCTGGCACACTTGTTGGACATGTGTACCCGCTCTCCAGGTTAGAATAATTGTGCAGGTCTGCAGAGACAGAGAGGTGGGAACAAGGTTTCCTGGGCTTATTGACTACCCGCCCCTCTCGCCCAGCTCCGCCACATCACACTGCCTCTTTGTCAAACAATTGGCCTCTGTGGCATTTTAGAATCCTCTTTTTTTTTTTCCAAGACTATTTTGTCCCATCTGTCACAGTTGTCTTAATATATTGATTTTGTTAGAAAAACACGCTTTTGGTTGGATTTTAAAAAAAATATATGAATCTCTTATTTCATGGGGGAAGGAGCCCCCTTAAATGTACTGCTCTTGGGCACTGTGTGGCTGTGTGCCCAGCCTTGCCCCCAAACATCAACATGAACATAGAAGGAAGGCTATTTTTGCAAATACATACTATGTTACGGAGAACACCTGTGTTTGGCTGACAAGTATCTTACTTCAAATTGGTTAAGAGTTACAGAAAAGGTCTGCCCCCTCTCATTTAGTACCTGTTCCAGAATGCCCAGGGTCTGCCAAGTGAATGGCAGCCAGTCAGGGCTGCCTGTGCTGTATTCCATGTGGCAGAGGCCAAGAGGTAGGTACCACAGTTCACTTCAGGTGTGGGATGGTGGGATTCGCCCCGAATCACAGAGCAAAAAGCTTTTTATCTCTTCGTGGAATCGACTATAGTGTTTTAAACTAAGAATGCTCTTGTGTTGCTTTAGGTGATCTTAGGATGAAAGTTCAAATACGAGAACTGCTAAGGACCCCTGAACAATGCGATTCTATAAACAATGTAAATGTGGTACAAGTTGGGTAACTCAACTAATGTAATGTCACACACAGTTATCAAATAGAACTTTTAAATATAAATAGGTCAAATTTTATACTATACTGTTTTCATTTTATCTGAAAAGCAGAGACAGTTTCTCCTTCCACTGGTCCACTCCCCAAATACCTGCAGCATCCAGCAATGAGCCAGAACAAAGACTCAGACCTCAGTCAGGACCTCCAGCCATGTGGAAGCAGGGACTTATGTGTTTCAGCCATCATCCACTACTACCAGGAGCTGGATTGAAAGTGCAACAAGGGGGCCCGACACAATAGCCTAGCAGGAAAAGTCCTTGCCTTGCACATGCCTTGCACACCCTGCACCCACGTGGGAGACCTGGAGGAAGTTCCTGGCTCCTGGCTTCGGATTGGCTCAGCTCTAGCCATTGCTGCATCTTGGGGAGTAAATTAGCAGATGGAAGAGCTGCTCTTCTCTGTCTCTCCTCCTCTCTGTATATATGGCTTTTCAATTAAAAAATAAATCTTAAAAATTTATTTAATAAATCTTAAAAAAAAAGAAAGTGCAGTGAGGACCTCAGCCAGCCACTCCAATGTGAAATGCTAGTTCCCCAAGTGACAACGTAACTGCTAAGTCAAATGACTGCCTTGGAAGCTTTTAAGATTTATTTATTTGCTTGAAAGAATTAAAGCAAGCGAGAGAGAGATTTTGCATTGCTGGTTCATTCTGCAAATAACTGCAAAGATCAGGGTTGGGCCAGGCCACAACCTGGAAGTGGAGCTTCATCTAGATTTTCTGGGTGGGTGGCAGGGCCCAAGCACTTGGGCCATCTCCACTGCCTTCCCAGAGACATTAACAGGGAGCTGACTCAGAAGTAGAGCAGCTGGGCCTTGAGCGGCTCTCATAGAATGTCGTCATAGGAGGTGGCTCAACCAAAGGCACCATAACACCAGTCTCACCAATTAAACAGCTAGAAACACACACACACACACCCATGCACCCTGAAGACACACACACACACACACTCATGCACCCTGACACACACACACACACACACACACACACACACACACACACACACACACACACACACACACACACACACACACACACCCCCCCCCCCCCCCCCATGCACCCTGAAGACAGTGCGGTATGGCAACATCCTTGAGAAATGCTGGAGTTCCCCTGCAGAACTGAGGCTGCATTTCCTAAACTTTTTATTCTTGGAATCTGGGCTCCAGCAAACTCTCACATGGAAATATTAATATTCCAATTGCCTGCACAAGTCCTAGAGGTCTGTTCTCTTGTCTACCTTTTGGGGCCAGCATGATGGTGATCACTGGACTAATCTTTTGATCTCTACTTTCATCACTGCAGTACTCTGTGAATTTAAAAATCCCTAAAATCTAATAATAATAATAATATGACAAAAAAAGAGTCAGAGCCCCTTTTTGAACTATTTAGTAAGTCACAATGAAAACCTACACTGTGACTCTCAGTTGCTGCTGTGCCCCGGCTGACCTGAACCTGGGGCAGGAGTTGGGAAACAAGGCGGGCAAGGTTGCCTGAGGTCCTTGGGGTAGACGTGGCATCCATTTCCTTCTTTCTCCTCCCTTCAACTCTCCTCAGATGGACCTGGGCATTCCAGCGATGACCAAGTGCTGCAACCAGCTGGATGTCTGCTATGACACCTGTGGTGCCAACAAGTATCGCTGCGACGCCAAATTCCGCTGGTGCCTCCACTCCATCTGCTCTGACCTCAAGCGCAGTCTGGGCTTCGTCTCCAAGGTGGAAGGTAGGCACCTTCAGGGCCAGGAGTTCTCTTCCTGTTGTAGCATGGAGATGTAGCCAGAGCCCCTGCACTTAAAGGCTTGGAAGGAACCTGTTCTACTTTTCTAGAACATTCTTTCCAGGGCAGAAGGGGCTAGCAAAGAGCTTCTGCCCCAGAGTTCTTGCTGTCCTGCCCATGAGCTGTTGGCCTCACTCCTGATGGCAGAGACTGTGTCAAAGCTTTGCCAGGAAAAGAAAATTCTGTCCTTAAATACTGGAGGAAAACTGCCCAGCTGACTAGGGTGATCCATTCCATTATTAAATCGTTTTTCCATATTCAGAATAATCTGTGTAGAACACCTAGGCTTTGATGTAAGCCTCTGTCTTTGTGGTTTTTTTTTTTATTCTCCTCAGGATAAACTTTTTAAAATCTTTTTCATGTAAATGTATGTATATATCATGTAAATGTATGTTCTTAAACACTGCCTATCCACCCTTCTTCTAGAACTTGCTCTGTAATTTCTTTTTTTTCCCTAATTTACCACAGGACAGGTCCTTCACCTTTAAGCTTCTGAAGCCAAAACCCTAAATAGCCTTTTAGCCTCGTTTTAGATGGCAAAGGTTGAAATTCAGGTGTCTAAGGAGGCAGGCCAGGTTGGCAATGGGAGGAACCCCAGATCTTGCTCCCAGCTCCGTGTCTGGGGTGTAGTCCCAGAGCGACTGTTCCAGGGTGAACAGACATGAATACTGAGACAGGCCCAAATAGAGCAAGTATCACTCAATTCTCCATCTCCAGTGAGTGATCGAGTGCCCGCAGTTATCTGGGCTAAGGTTACGTCCTCCCAGCAATGTCTGCTTAGTCTGTTTCTTCAATGTCTCTAATATCCCACTTGCCTGGCTAGTGCGGATTAACCTATTCTCTGTGTCCCACCAATCTATTTTCCTATTGGACACACACACACACACACACACACATTTTTTATTTTTTGGATGCCAGGGAGATAGAGACAGACAGAGAGACAGTGATGGATTTTCCACCTGCTGGTTTACTTCCCGGTAGCCATCACTGTGCCAAACGAAAGCTCAATGTGGATCTACCATTGTGGATGGTAGAGACCAGAGTATTTGAGCTGTCACTTGCTGCCTGCCAGGGTGCACACTGACAGGAAGCTGGAACAGATGTGGAGGAGTCAGGGCCTGAACCAGGCTCCCTGACATGAGATGCAGGCATCCCAAGTGATGGCTGCACCACTGCCCCAAATGCGCCTCCTCCCAGGCCAACTTTTATATCACACAGACTGAATCGCCTCCACTCAGAGTCTAACTCACTTGAAAATTCCTCCCCCTTAATTATTCAATACAAATGTCTTGGTGTGACATACATGGTGTCTGGTGGCTCAGGGCTGGCCTATGTCTCCAGCATTCCTTGGATGCTCCTGATTTATCTCCTGGTTGGGTTGCTGACCCACTCCTTTCTGTCCCTGGGAACCCTCTGATTGCTCACTTTTGGTTGATGGGTCAGTTTAATGAAGCTACAGTCCACATCCTATTCACTAATCAAAATGCTTTTTAGAAATATGGTAACCAAATTATGCAAGGAACCTCTCAATCCATTTCAAGACATTTTCATCATCCCAATGAGGAAACCCCTAGCCATCGGCAGCCACTCCCCCAAGTCTCCCTGTCCAGCTCGAGTCAACAAGCACTGTATCGCTACAGCCTCACCCATTAAGGGCATTTCATATACATGGTGTTACACCATGTGCAGTCTTCTACCAAGCAAGGATTATTCCTGTTGAGGAATCTCCTCCCTTTTTATGGCTGAATGATAGGTGGAGGCAGCAACCAGTGCACATCAAAGTAGGATTTAAACGTAAATTGGGGGCAGAGAGCCGGATGCTTAAGACACCTGCATCCCAGATCAGACTACCTAGGTCCAATACCCACTGTGCCTCCTGACTCTGGCTTCCTTCTGAAGCACAGCCTGGGAGGAAGCCTTGACGGTGAAGGTTCCTGGGCTCCTGCTCTGCATCGGATAAACTGGCTAGAGAGCCACAACGCTGCAGCGGCAGAGCACCTGCCCAGCCCTGGCTGGGATCATGCCCTCCTGGGATCTGTGCTGCTTCAAGAGCTCTCGGAACCCTGGGGTCAGCCTTCCGGTTAACCCTGACCTTTCTCTCCCTTTTTCTCAAGCAGCCTGTGACTCCCTGGCTGACACCGTGTTCAACACCGTGTGGACTCTGGGCTGCCGGCCTTTCATGAACAGCCAGCGGGCAGCGTGCATTTGTGCCGAAGAGGAGAAGGAAGAGTTGTGAGGGCCAGGCGGCCCCTTCCGGGGGCTCTCCACTGTCAGCCATGGAGCCAGCAGCCTGGCAGGTGTGCCCTGCTATCTTCCGGTCGTTTGGATGCCACAAGACAAGAGACCGGAAGGGCTGTCGGAACATCCCTTAGAGGGGAAATTGACGAAAAAAAGCTGTGAAGTGACTTGAAGGCTGCTCTCTAGTGCTGCTCTGCATACCCCAGCTGCTCCTACCTGGAAACTTGCTGACTAAACCACAAGCTGCCCCTGCGTTCCAGGACCTGATGGGGAGTGAGGTTCCCAAGTGGAAGGTTGGGGAGCCCAGCCATTTGGGACGCAGTGACTTCCCTCGGGCCCTCGGGCCACCAGTAAGCATTTCACATTCAATAAATTGTACTTTTCAGAACATTTCGAAAGACATGAATGCATTCCATTACCTCCAGAATGTTTCCATGTGACTTGGAAGAAAACAGAAGTCCACCTGGCAATCCCGCCGCTGACCACAGCGGTGCTCACGAGGCCGGAGACACAAGCTGGTGCACAGGGCAGTCTCACCTGGGAAAGGCCACGGCCGTCGAGTCAGGTGGAACTAGAGCTCCGGAGTTCCTCCTGTGGGTATTTCCAGCGCCAGAATGGTGTTGGGGACTGCTGGTGGAGACTGCTAAGAAGCGCCCAGCTGCCCCTCTGGGCTAGAGAGGCAAATGGGCACGTCCTAGCACGAACTGTGGATTGGAACCAGCTGAGGGCCATTGGAAACCAGCCAATGAGGAACTTGTGAGGCGGGGCCTGCGTGCAGGTCTTCTGCTGAGCAGCCCCCTGGCCGGCCCTAACACGAGCCGAGCCTCGAGCCTCGTGCCGCTCCAGATCAGGGATTGGCCAGCCTGGCCGAGCCCGTTTCGGTTTCCGTTTCCGTTTCCTTTCCCAGCAGCTCAGCCACACTCGGGCTTGTTCTCGTGCTGCCCACGACTGCTCGGCCTTGCTCAGGTGCAGCAAACCCCGCAAAGCCTAAAACATTTACCACTGGGCATTTTACAGAAAAGCTCGCTGACCTCCAATTGAAATCATTTTCCCTTTTTGTTCATTTCACTGTTCCTAAGAATTGTTGATTGTACTCACTTAAAAAAATGTTTATTTTCATTTTATCTGAAAGGCAGATAAATCTTCCATCCACTGGCTCACTCCCTAGATGCCAGCAGCAGTTAGGACTGGAGCAGGCCAAAGCCAGGAGCTCCATCCTGGGCTTCCATGTGGGCAGCACCGGCAGCCAAGCACTGGAGCCATCCTCTGCTGTCTCAAGTGTGCACTGGCAGAAAGCAGAATATGTGCCAGGGTCCTGGGCACCAGATCTCTGTCCATTTCTTAAAAGAACAAGTAGGAAAACTTTTCTAACACTACGTAGTCATAACATTGGCAGGTTTAAAAGCTGGATTTACTTCCACATAAAATTTAGCTTTTATTTATTTCAATACAATTTGTTATGGTCTAATAAAATAGATACTCCATACCTTTTTCTATTGTTTAACCCACCTGCGGGCATAGAATTCCAGTCAACAGGCCTTAGGATACCAAATTTTGTTTCTAGCTCAGGCACCGAATCCCTTAAATCCATGCATTTTGATGAATTTGTTAATATTTACTAATGGGAAAAAGTTCTATGAAAGCAATAAAAATATCAAAATATTATGCAAGAGAGAAACCAAGTTGTATTTTTTATTTCATATTGTTTTACTGATACAAGTCCAAATCTATTGAGAATTTGAATTATAAATTCAGGCTATCATTTCTACATTTAAGGAATCACTACTGATCCAGAATTTAGCCTGAAATAACTCACCCAGCTTCTGGTGTGAATGGTCCTCCTGAGTCACACATGAGGTATTGAATTGTAGGAAGGACAGGGGGCACATGGCGTGAGCATCATCTGTGTGAATGGGTGCAGCAAGGCCAACCTGGCCCAGGCCACATGGCGGGTGGCACTTTGACACGTGGGGACCCCCGGGGTCAGAGTCCGGGGGGTCCTGGGAGGGTGGCTGATGTCCTAGAGGCGGGAAGCCGCAGCTCTGCTGGCAAATGGCTACTTCTCCCAGTCGATGATGATGGGGCCGCCGGTCAGCACGTGGCTCTGTAGCCCCAGGGTGTCTCCTCCTTCCCCTGCCTTGCGCCGCATGCGCCGGTGGCAGCCCTGGGCACAGCGGGACTGCTCGTCCAGCACCCCACAGACCAGCACCCGACAGTGCAGGAACACCTCCTGCAAGGGGGTGGGGACAGGATTGTTAGCAGAGGCCACCACTAGCGTGGCCCTGAGCAGAACCCCGACAGGAGGGACAGTTCCAGGCAGGCCTCTGGCTGGGATGGCTGTGGTCAGCTCTATGAGACAGCTGAGGAAACTGAGGCTCAGGGAGGTGCAAGAGCCCGCTCACACACCAGCACTGAGTCTTGTAGCAGAGCTGGCATGGGAGAAACTCCTTGTGCATGTCTGCAGGGTGCTGGGGTTGGACTTGTGGGGGAAGCCCCTGTCTGATGACGCTGACGTCATGGCTATGCAACCCCAAGACCCGCAGGCTGCACTGGCTCCCACCCATTTCTGCTATAAACCAAGTGCTTCTTCCACTTGTTTCCGTGACCACCCAACACTGGGTGCCTTGTCGAGGAAGGGAGTCACGAAGAGCCTTTCATGGTCAGGAGTGGCGCTGGCCCAGCACTCCGAGGGGGAGAAAGGAAGTGTCCTTGCTGGTGACAAAATGCTGGCTCCTCTGACGTCCTGCAGCCACCACACAAGCCCCACCACAGCCATGGCAAAAAGCACCACCTTCTCTCCCACAGCCGGTTCCATCTGCTCTCCTGGCACTTCCCTCCACATGATCACCAGCTTTGAAAGTGCAGCCCATGCAGGTGCATGAGAACTGTGACAACAGGGTCCTCCCGTCTGCTTTGCTGCCTCAGCCCTGTTTGGGAGCTCCCCCTCACCACACTATTATAATAATAATGCGCCACAAACACTTCTGGCACATCTCGTATTGTTTTCAAGAAAACTGTCAGACCTGGGATGCTTACGTGAAAGAATAGGGTGTTTATGCTTATTGTTACAGCCTTTCTGAAATGTAGCAATTTATACTGCAATTGTAAATTTCTCCCTTGAATTTTGTGTTACGATGTACAACTTTTATAAATTCAGTATGCATCAAATGGTATCATCATTTTGGTTGCCATTTTCCTATTTTTATTGATCATTTCACTATTCATTTTTTTCTGTACATTTCCCCTCCACAGCCTCTGCTGAATGACCATTAACACTGGCTCTTTAAACCATGCCCAATGTATAAAATTTTAACTTAGAATTGCACCAGGTTTTCTCTGAACAGCACCATTACAGGGGTATGTGGGAAGCAGATAACATCAGATGGAGTCAAGCTACTGCGGTGGTTATGGTTATCATATTTGGTCCCAAGGTCATGCAGACTCTAACCCTGGGCCATGAGAGTGTAACATACACAGGGACACAGACACACCAAGAGCAAGCAGGTGACAGACGCTGAGCTAACAAGGTAAAGATGTCGGGCTCACCTTGTGGTCCTTGCCCACAAACTTGAAGACGGGCACCTGGAAGTGCTTTGCTAGGTGATCCCGGGATGTGTATTGCTTTACGGAATCGTCAGAGACACAGCTGAAACAAGTAGAGCGTGTGTCAGGCTGTGTGGCTTTGGTCAGGTGACACCCCAGCCAGGCTGGTAAGGCTGCCCTGGCCGGAGGGAAGCTGTGTGGAGCAGCCTGGGTCACACTCAAGCTCTGGGAGAACGGAGGACCCATGCAGCTTTCCTGCCTGGGAGGGCAGCTCCAGACACAGCCCTGCAGCCAGAGGCAGGTATTAAAGCCAGGCACTGTGACATGGGAGGTGGGTATCTTATGGGGTTTTGCATCATTAGCCCAAATACTGCTTTAAAAAAAATTTTTTTTTATTTACTTAGAGAAAAGATCAGAGGTAAGAGGAAAGGAGGGAGGGAGAGGGGAAAAAAGAGAGAGGAAAGAACTAGCTTTTCAAAAAGCTTCTCAGTTTTTCTGAACAAACATCAGGGGTTGAAAATCACTGTGCAAGAGCCGAGTTGCAGCAGGGGAAGGCTGCCTGGTGTGCCACAAGCAGTGAAAGTAAAGCCCAGCTTCTCAGAGCCTGCAGCCCACTGCAAGGACTGGGGGTGGGGGAACCTTGGCCACTACCTTTCACAGAGGCCTGGTTCCTGCCCCTAGCTCAGATGCACTCCCACCCTCGTGTAGAATGGAGCAGCAGCCCTGGGATCCCATTGTCAACTCCCCAGGGATGCATGCAGTGGCTGTCACTTCGGAACCCATTTCAGGGCCCCCGGCTCTCTCCTTACAGTTTCCCTACCCTGCCTGTCCCCAACCAACCAGCGCTCACAGGAACTCATCAGTGGCCAAGAGCGAGGTCCCATGTGTCTCCACCAGCTAACAACATTTGGAGGCTCAGCGCTGTCTCCGGATCCTGGGCAGAGAGCCACCCTCCCCATCCACTGTCTCCCAGGCTGACCCAAGCCCACCTGGCCCTCGGGCAAATTCCCTACCTGCTGCTGGCCAGTGCAAGGCAGGACATAGAGCCCCACGGACCGGCCAGAAGCCTGGACACGTACTGAACATGCCCCTTTTGGCCCTGACTTCCCTCTGGAAGAACCCTCAGCCCAGGGCCCCTGGGTGACTGGGTAGAGAGCTATGGCTGCCTGGCCCCTCTGCTTACTGTGCAGTTAGAGCATAGCTCCAACATTAGTGAGCTGACACCCCCCACGCCCGGGGAGGGTGGTTCTGTTTGGGGGTCGCTCCCTAGGAACTATCACGGAGATCACTTGCCCGTCACCCCCCTGACACCCACCAGGTTCTATGTCTTTCACCTCCCACCTAATGAACCAAGGGTCTACACCTGCTGCCCGCACCTCCTCCCCACCCCGCCCTTCTCCGGGCCGGTTACCCAGGCAGGTAGCAGACATTGAGAATGGAACGTGATAATCCTCAAAGCAGCCGTGCCCTCGGGACCCCTCTGCGACCCTGTGCGCGCTTCAGGCCTCCGCACCGCCCGCCCGCCGAGCTGCGCCCACATACCCGTCGCGGATGAGGTAGTACTTGAGGATCTCGTCTATCTTGGCGGTGGGCGTAGCGAAGCAGCTCTCCACCAGGCTCTGCAGGCCGCTGACGTGCACCAGGGGCTCGATGCCGAAGTAGAGCGAGTCGCGGAGCTTCAGGGTGGGCAGGGTCTCGCGGTAGGGCTCCTCGAACCCACGGTCCTTGAAGATCTCGAGCGTGAAGGGGAAGACGCCGTGGTTGCGGCCCGCGATCTCCAGCGGGGAGTTGCGGAGGTGGGGCACGTAGCCTTCGGAGATGGTGTACAGGCGCGGGAACTCGCAGGTGACCGGGATCAGCAGCTTGCTGGTGCGGAGAATGATGTCGCCGCTGCTGCCTGGCGTCTGCTTGGGCAGCCCCGTCACCAGGTTGCTGGCCACAATCTTGTCATTCACCACCTGCCCCACAGAGACCAGGTGCAGAAAGGAAAGAAGACCCCCCTCCATCAGCAGCACCTCAGCACTCACATCAGCCAACAGCTGGAGAAGGTGTGGGCCTAGGCGCTGCTCTTTGTAAGCAAGGTGCCCCAGGGTCACCCGCACAGCCCTTGGCTGGGTAGCCCAGAAAGCCTGGTCTAGGAAGAGGCAGCAGGTTCAAGGCTTGTGTGTTTCAGTGGGGCACGGCTTCTGGCAGTGACTGTGGCCAGGGAGGAGGCCTGTGGCTGCACGGGCAGCATGGACCTCTCCCCAAGCCTGATTCATTGAGTCACGCGTCCACATCCAATGACGGAATGGTCCTGGAAGCCTTTCTGCGGCTCTGCCACCTTGCACTCTTGCGACAGGCCACAGATGTCACCCTTATCCCTGCTTGCACGCCTCGCCCTGAGGCCACATTTGTTTCCCATCTGAAAAGCCCTTTCTTTTTTTTTTTCCTCTGCTTGTGCAAGTCACATGCACACACACCCATCCAGCACCAGCCAAGTCCCACTTGTCCCTTTTGGCTCCTCCGGGCCCAGGCATGGGACCCACCACTGCTGCTCACGCCCCTTGCACCTGCCGGCTGTCACCTGTGCCGTGAGCTCTGAAGCTGGGAGTCCCAGTTCCCACGCCTAGGTCACATGCATGGGCTCACAGACAGCAGAAACAGCAGAGTTGCTCTTGGTCCCAGTCCTTAGTGGGCAGCCCATGGCAGACAGTTAGTAACACACTTGCCCCCTGAATAACACCACGTTTTAGGTTTGATTCTCTAGGTCATTCACCAATGACCCAGCCACAGCACACACCTCTGCCAAACAGCACTTGAGTCCCTGGCTTTTGGTTCTTCCCCCAGCACCCCACCCTCTAGGAACTTACCTCAACCACGGTGCCACAGGTCTTGAGAGAGAAGAGGAGATTGATGTGGGTGCCGTTGGACACGCCTCGGCAGGAGCTGTTGGTCAGAAAGAGCTCCAGGCCACCCACCAGCTCACGGGGGACGCTGACCTCGATGGCGTCTGACTTACACACCACAGGGACTGCAGGACAAGGGGCATCTGTTAGAACCGGGACCTGCCGCTAGGCAAATGCGAGAGAGGTTCCCAGGAGAAACGAGTGCATCCTGGGGTAACTAGAAGTGTTTGTTCTCTGGGAAACTGATAGGACCCCAAAACCAGACTGGCTGGGATTCTGAACCCCCAAGGTCATGGTGGAATAATGTTCTTCATGTTCCCCACTCATCCACTTAGGAAACACTGAGTTTGTGTTAGGGTTCAGTGAGCCACAGCTGCTTCAAAGCTGGCTTGAGTTGTGTCAGGAGCAGAGACCCCACACAGGGCTGACTTCCAGTACAGACACAATTTATTGTCCAGGCAGGAAAATGCTGCTTGGCCAGAGGCTTACATTTCACATGGTGCTGCTGTAACGATGCCGTTAATTACCGCCCGTAAAGGGAAAGGCATAAAAAAAAAGTGTTAGTGCTCCAGGGAACTGCTTCCAAATCGGCCTTGCATTGTTTGGCAAGCCATAAATGCTAACTATAAATCCCAATTAATGCAGGGACTGGCGCTGTAGTAGGTGAAGCTGTGGCACCAAGATCCCATGTGGGAATCTATTTGAGTCCTGGCTGCTCTACTTCTGATCCAGCTCCCTGCTAATGGCCTGGAAGAGCAGTGGAGGATGGCAGAAGTGCTTGGGCCCCTGTACCCACATGGGAGACCTGGAAGAATCTCCTGGCTATAGTCTGGCCCAGCTCTGCCCACTAAGGCCAATTGGGGAATGAACCAGAGAATGGAAGCTTGATCTCTCTGTCTGTCTCTCTCTCTTTCCCTGTAACCCTGCCTCTCAAACAAATCTTTGCAAAATAAGTTCATAAAAATAATAAACTTAATGTAACAAATATTGCCTTTCCTTTACATTCTCATATTTGCTTCTTTAGATGACAAACACCTCAAAAAAAAAAAAAGACCTGGCTACTGTTGGACTAATACATGATGACATGGCGTACCAGTGGTGCAATGAAACAATGGTAATTAGGCATTAAGTATTTGCTGGCTGGATGAATACTCTTTGGGACATCAGATCTAGATTTCCAGAAAACAGTTCTCCGAGGATGGTAGATGATGCTCAGATTGTAAGGCTAGCCGGGATAGAAGCCGTTTCCTAGGACTTTCAATTTAGTTTCACCTGGTTTCAACTTAATTAATCTCGTAAAAGAGAAAATAATTGCAGTATTGTCTAATACCTCCAGATGGAGTCCTAGGTGTACACATAGCCCCAGAAATGGGGCCTGAGGGGAGAGCATAGGCAAATGGCCAGGGAAAGCTAGCTTTGGGGCACGTTAGAGCTCTTCTTTTTCAAGTGAGCCTGCAGTGATGGTTTACTATCCCAGGGGAGGAAGGTGGGAGGTGTGTAGACCAGGGAAGGGGCCAGGAGAGCCATGACCCAGCCTGTCCTCGGGCTACCTTGGCAAGTGTGGTTGTCTTCAGCCAGCACCAAGCCCCGGGGACACTCGCACTGGTAGCCCTTCTCCAGCCCGATGCAGGAATGGCTGCAGCCGCCGTTGTTGTTGTGGCATCCTTCAATGTCTGCAGTGGGAAGGAGATGAGGAGGAGTCGTCACAGCCCAGCCCTGTCCCTTAAGAACAGCAGCAGGGATTAGGCTCCACTCACACAGGGTCCCTGGGGACTGCCCAGGGACAAAGACATGGAGGATTCTGAAACATGCCAACCACCCAGAGCAACTGCTCATCCTCTGCCTCTGTCCACTGAAGCCGGTCAGTCCTGATCTAACATGAGGGGCCTTTCATTTGGGTTTGACTCACATCTCTTCTCATGGTTAGACTGAGCTATGGTTTTTTTTAGGAACTTACTCAAGAACCATTTCTTAATTGCTGTGGTATTCAATCTACTTTGAAAGTTTACAAAACATGACTGACCAAAATGAACTGACAGAGTGAAATCCAACTTGATTGGCTGGCTGGGTCAGGGTCACGGAAAATGGTGTGGACCTGCACCTCTCTGCTTGAATCTCTGGGCACCAGGGCAGGTGTCCCAGGGCCTAGGGCCAAGGGCACTGCCAACACTGCGGCCTGGGCAGCACTCTGAGTCCATTCCACCAAGCTTTTAACGATTTTTAAGAGGCAACAGTCTAAAGTTTCCTCTCTTTAGTAGTTTGTGATCTTCAAAAAGCAATCAAGTATATGAAAAGAAAATGTATTCAATTGAAAATGGAGGCAACTACCATGTGATTTCAAACTTTATTAAAAAAAAAATAATGTACTGATGGTGGCTTCTGGGTCAGAGCCATTCATTTTAAAGTTTCAAGGCTCAGGGCCACACTCCCTCATTCACCTATTTTCTGCCGGCTCAGGTCAAGGGCAGAGCTGAGTGCCTTCAAGTGATTGCCTGTTGTTCACAAGGTCTAAATTATTTACTTGCTGGCCTTTACAGGAAAATCTAGCTGACCCGTATCATAGGGTTAGCCTAGGGAAGGAGATGTTTTCGTATTAACAGAGAAAGACGGAAGCTGTCTGGAGGTTCAGCAATAGCCCTCCTAGTTCAAGATGAAAAAGAAGTTATTTGGAGGATCCTGCAAATTAACTTGGGATAGGTTGACTTTAATGAACTGTACAGAAAGAATAAAATTGTAATGAATACATTTTTTCCAAAATTGAAGAGATTAGAATCACCTGTTTGGAAATATGTATATTTTCAAAAGATGAAAGCACACCTATCGGCTTTTACAACAGTCAGAAATGGAACTCCCTAGTCAACATGTGTGACAACATGGAGCCCCAAGTGGCACTTTCCTGACAGCATGTGTTAGGTCTCGGGTTGCAGGTGCACTGCACATCTTTCAGGAAGTCACCTGCTGGCCAGAAACATGGTGTATATGAAACATAAATGGATTTTATAATTACATTAGGATCCATCCTCGTGATATTTCTCTGTGTCTGTGGGAAGATTACAAAATCCAAAACACTCTCATCCCCAGCACTCCGGACACAGAGCCTTAACCTGTGTAACGTGTGGAGGGAAAGGGTGCGAAACGTATTTAAGATGCTGACATCAACATTAATGGGAAATAGCTTTTCTTAAAGATGACCTTCCTCTGAGGTCCTCTGAGCCACAGTTTCAATATCTGCAAAGTAAAAGGGTTGTAATACATGTTCGCTCAAGGTATTTCCAGGTCCAAAAATACAAAGCATAAAATAAACTGACAATCTGAATTGCCTCCAGAGATGTATGTCTCCCAGGAGAACACATAAAAGCACTTATAATGGATACATCCAGTAGAAGTCATCTTAACGATATTCCTTTCACTCCCTCATACTTTCTTCTTAATTTGCATAATAAAACCAATGCCCATTATTTACTAATTAAAAACAGTTGCATATATTTATTTTTAAAAAGCTATAAAAGCCTTCTAAAGAAATATATTATGTTCAGATTACCAATACAATTTAAGGATTATAAATAGGAATGTTAATACCTAAGGCAAAACTCCTATATAGCTTATTATCTGCTGCTAAAATACTTATTAGTTATGGTTATTAGGCTTTAAGGTTGTGTGAGGATTACTTTAATGGTTTCAATAAAGCATTCATGAACAATTGCAAATGTTCCTCGTGGAATGGTTCATTAATATTCAAAGACTACTGCACACAATAAGATTTAAGCAGGGTTCAAGCTAGTACCCAATTAAAAGAAATCTAAATTGAATTTACTTGTAAGAGAGAGCAGTTTAATATTCTGGTCATCAGTTAACAATGCAAAGTTAGTTACATGAGGAAGTTGTGGGCACTAGTCATATTTTTTTCCGTTTTGAGTAAGTGCTTTATTATTTTAGATACAACAAAAACAATGAATTCTTGTGAACAGAAATACAGCTCTATTTACCTCACAACCTTACTTAACCTGTGAGACAAATTGTATGTCCTCTGTGAATAATTACACCATTCATCTCTCTGTAAAATCTACAGGGTCATGAGAACTCAGACTTATTAAAGTGGAAGTGATGAAACCTTATTTGTCCTAATTTGCAAGAGTAATTGTGCCTTAGACTAGCTTCATTATCTAAACTAATAAGAATATTGCTAATATCCTTTTGCTGACTATTACATCACATAGGACTCCAGAAATATGAACAATTACTATGTGGCAATTGAAAAACTAAAGACAAGAATAATAGCAGAAAATTTGCAGGCATTATTATTTTTTGTTATTGAGTCATAAAATATATATAGCATCTCTGTTACTAAAAATAGATAGAAAATAGACAAATAAAAATAGATCATTTTAGCTAATTACCAAAGAAAGTATTAATCTCCAGTGAATATAAAGTATACAGGAGATTTAAAAAAAAGGCTACAGGTAGACCAGTCGCCCCAACTTCCATATCACAATTAATTCTTCTTGGTGAGAACTTGTTAAACATGCCACCTCTGAGGCGGGCATTGTGGCATTGGGGACTAAGCCACCACCCGGACATCCATACCCATAATGCAGGGCCTGCATCCCAAGCTGTGTAACCAGCTCCTTGCTCATGTGTCTGGAAGTCAACAGATGATGCCTGAAGTATGTGGGTCCCTGCCACCCACACAGGAGACCCAGGCAGAGTTCCCAGCTCCTGGCTTTGGCTTGACTCCATCTCAGGTGTTGTAGGCCTCTGGGGAGTGAACTGGTACATGAAAGATTTCTCTCTCGTCTCCTGCTCTCAAATAAATCTTTGGCTTCAGTTGGTCCATACTGAAGCCAGAGTCAGGAACTCTATCTGGATCTCCCACATGGTCACACGGATCCAAGCACTTAAAGGGTTTTCTTCTGTGGCTTTCCCCAGGCACAACAGCAGGGGGCTGGATGTGAAATGGAGCAGCCAGGACACAAAGCAGTGCCATATGGAATGCCAGTGTTACAGATGGCTTAATGTGCTGTGGACAATATCAATTACACAATAAATGGATCATTGCACACACACACACACAAGGCTCCATTAAAGCTCCACTGGAATCAAATCCTGGTGCCTCTCAGTAGCAGCAAGGCTGAGGAGCTGGGCTTGACCCCTGTTCACCCTGCAGCCTCTGTCCCCCTCCCCTAGTCCAGCTGTGCTCCCGGGACCTGAGGCTTTGCAGTCATCCAGGGGTTACTGCAAACACAGTATTTGGCTCCTGATCCCAGAGCCAGAATCTGCACTGTAACAAGATCCCAAGTGGCTGATGCTTGAGAAACACACAATGCACTATTGTTATTTTCCTAATAAAAACTGTGTTTTTCTGCTTCTTGCAAATTCCCCTCCTGTTCAGTCTAGATGCACTGCTGCTTATGAGGGCACCCATGCCGACCCAGTGGCAGGCAGCTTTCCCTCCCTGCCAGACCCACTCACCTTCGCAAGTCTTGCCATCCCTCTTGAGCACGCGGCCCACCCCACACTCGCAGCGATAGGAGTTTTTGAGGTTCACACAGATCTCACTGCAGCCCCCGTTGTTCTGCTCACACTCATTTTCATCTGCAGAAGAGAACACGCATGGTTTCCACCGGCTACGCCCTCTTTAGTAATCTGTGATTTCAGGTGTATATTTTGAAAATGTTTAAAAATAGACTTTAGTACATCTCCATTTGGACACCACACTCATCGGAAGTCCCGGAGGTGTATCTTAAGTCATGAAATCAGTAGTTACTCAAGATTTCTCAGACATTTTCAGTTTTTCAGTGACAAAATTGAGCATTAGCCTTAAAATGAAGAGAAAATTCAGTTTCTCAGTCATCAGAGTCACGCTTGGAGTGCTCCACAGTCTGCTGTGTCAGCGGCTACCAGAGCCACACAGCACAACCCTGGACAACCCTCAGTTGTGGCAAACACTTGGGGCTGTAGCCATCTACTCCAGAGGCCAACAGCATTGCAAGGGCTCCGGGACACGAGCTGGGGCAATGTTGGAGCTCCAAGGCTGAGTTTCAGACGTACTCCTCTGACACTCCCAGCCTGTTCCCCTTCCCAGGGCCGGCTCCTTACCCAAGCAGGTCTGCCCATCCGGGCCCAGCATGGTCCCTGGAGAGCAGGTGCACTGTCCAGCGTTCGCGCAGCTGCCATGGCAGTCCTCCTCGCAGATGTCATAGAAGTCTATGATGGGGTGGGGGGGAAGTGAGGATCCTAAGGGGGTCTCAGCGCAGCAGGGGGAGGGGCCCCAAGCTACTGCCAGAGAGTGCTCACTCCTCTGGATTCATAACACACAGCGGGAAGACATCAGCTGTCAGGGGCGTCCTCTGCCACTCACATTACTGATGTCCAGTCTCATGGGGTTTCTCCCAACACAGACTGTCATTCTACTCTGCAAAGCACTCTCTAAGGGTGTATAGATTTTCACGAGATTGGTAACCCAAAATCCAAGTATCACTCGCTCCAATTAGCTACTTCCCATTGTATGGCATCTTTAACAGTCAATGGATACTAAGCACAATGCTATCACATGGATGCCTGATGGTCCCTCCATCATCTGTCTACCTCCCTACTTATTGTTGTTTTAAAAAGGCTTAGGGCGTGGGCCTGGCGCAGTAGCCTAGTGGCAGGGTCCTTGCCTTGCACATTCCAGGATCCTATATGGCGACAGCTCTAATCCTGGCGGCCCCACTTCCCATCCAGCTCTCTATTTGTGGTCTGGGAGAGTAGTTGAGGACAGCCCAAAGTCTTGGGACCCTGCACCCACGTGGGAGACCTGGAGGAGGCTCCTGGCTCCTAGATTGGAATTGTCACAGTTCCAACAATTGCAGCCACTTGGGAAGTGAGTCAGCAGATGGAATATCTTCCTCTCTGTCTCTCCTCTTCTCTGTATATCTGACTTTCCAAAAATAAAATATATCTTTTTTTTTTAAATTGGACAATTCCTTTTTTTTTTAAAGATTTATTTATTTATTGGAAAGTCAGATATATATAGAGGAGGAGAGACAGAGAGGAAGATCTTCCGTCCAAAGATTCACTCTCCAAGTGAGCTCAACGGCCGATGCTATGCCGATCTGAAGCCAGGATCCAGGAACTTCTTCCGGGTCTCCCACACGGGTGCAGGGTCCCAAAGCTTTGGGCTGTCCTGGACTGCTTTTTCCAGGCCACAAGCAGGGAGCTGGATGGGAAGTGGAGCTGCTGGGATTAGAACCAACGCTCATATGGGATCCCGGGGCGTTCAAGGCGAGGACTTTAGCTGCTAGGCCATGACACTGGGCCCTAAAATATATCTTTAGAAAGAAAAGGCGTAGGGTGTGCAGAGTGTGTGTTGGGCAGGGTAGAGGGTGGAAATGGGGGACTTGGAGGATGGGGACTGTTACTCACGGCCGCAATAGACATGGTAGCAGACACTGGGCTTGGTCAGGCGATACACGTAGTAGCCACCGGGGCAAGCCTTGACCTCCAGCGTGGTGTTCCACAGGCAGCAGTTGCCCTTGAAGCTAGCACAGGCCCGCCGTTGCACAATGCCATCGGCTTCCAGGGGGTGGCTGCCGTTCATCCAGACTGGTGCGTGGGTCCCGCAGTGGTTTTCTGGGATGCAGAAGGTGGGCATGGCGTCGCCCGCCATGCCCGTGAAGCGGTACCATTCCCCATCCATGTGGTTGTCGCACAGGGGCGGATCCTGGGACTCATCCAAGCGGTGCTCCGTGTTCCTCCAGGGCTCGTTCAGGCTGATGTAGGCGGAGCACGGGTCTAGGGCTGGGGCGGAGAAGGGCACCACAGGGGCCTCAGCTCACAGGGCATGGGCCCCACCTCCCCCCACATGGCTTTGGGTTGAGTTCAAGAAAGCAATGATCTACAGTCTTAAAAAGTCTCCGTGACATGAATTAAATATGCTTCTTAAGTGCCCTTTATAAACTTACTCCAAACCTGGTAGGATCTAGTGCTAGCATTGGGCTGAGGCCCACAGCACCCTAGAACCGCTCGGTCACTTGCTGGGCTCGCAGCTGTGGGGAACTTTGTGCAGACATCTTTGTGCCCGTGGAAGTCTCCTCAACATCCCCCCAGCCCTGGGGCATCAGCCAGCCCCACACCTGCTCTCAGTCTGGAAGGGATCCTCCACCAACTCCTGCTTCTCCTTCAGTACCCTCCCTGGCCTCCTGCCCCCCAAGGCCCAATACTTGCAGAGCCCCAAAGTCACCCCTGGACTTGCTTATGGCTTTGAGTTGCACATCCCACACGTTTGGTGGGGAGCCAGGCGGTGTTGGAGTGAGTGGAGGAGGGGGAAGAGGAGAGCCAAAGCTGCTGGGTAGGAGTGTGGTCCTTGTTGAGCAAGGACAGGGCACTCAAGGCCAAGCTCTCAAAAGCTGCAGGTGCACAGAGGGGTCGTGGGAGTCCCACACAGTGCGTCCTACCGCAGCCACGGTTCCTGACCCACTGTGTTTGCCAAGTTCATAGCCTGCTGAGACCTCCATGGGTTTGGCCTACACCTTCCTCTGTTCCCAGACCCCAACCAGCCTGCCACAGGCCCTACCAGGTTTCCTCAGGTCCTCGGGCCTAATTTTCAAAATGCTGAGGGTCAAGGAACAAGGCAGGGTCTAATACTGAGCTCCTCAAAAGGGCCATGATGAAGGCTCTCTGTCCCACACCATGGCCCTTCTCCCAGGGCTAGGATTGCTAAGCTGTTGGGAAAAGAAGTGGGTGGCAGATCCTCTCAGTTGGAATTGAAGTATGGTTCACCTGGTTGGCCAAGCCTGAGGAAGCTGAGGGTGGCTGACGGCACCCAGTCTTGGCAAAGAGCCTTGTTTGCAGAGGACAAGCCTAACCAGCCTGCTTTCTCCAGATCTGTGCCCACCCTCCGCAGGGACAGAACTGACAGTGCCTTGCATTCATTAAAAAAAAAAAGGGTCCACTTGGTAGCCTAGTGGCTGGGGTCCTTACCTTACACCCAGTGGAATCCCATATGAGTGCCAGTTCTAATCCTGGCAGTACCACTTCCTATCTAGCTCAATACCTGAGGCCTGGGAAAGCAGTCGAGGGTGGCCCAAAGCCTTGGGACCCTGGACCTGAGTGGGATACCCAGAAGAAGCTCTTGGTTCCTGGCTTCAGATTGGCTCAGCTCCACTCTGGCCATTGTGGCCACTTTGGGAATGAACCAGCAGATGGATGAGCTAGCCATAAAAGTGACCAGAACATGGAAAAAGTTCAGATCCATTTTTACCGAAGATCCAAGGAACACTGGGTATGGCAGATCCACAAAACATTTCCCTTCTGGGCAAGAGGGTCAAAGAAACATGGCACAGAAATGCTCTGCAAATCTATTTTCCTAGCTTGCTAGGGACTCGCCTGACACCACTGGGTAACCAGCACCCAGGGACTAGAATCCTGCTCTTAGCCATCTGAACAAACAGCAAAGTGCAACAGCGCAAGGCACAGCGTGCCCAGCTCTTTGAGGTGAGACTCACCTGTTAGCGACACCGGGGTGACCATGACCGAGAGGCAGGTGAGGAGCAGGAGCTGACGCATAGCTTGCTTGCACTGAACACCAAAGACAGACTGGCAAATCCTGGCAAATCCTGGCAACACCAGGTTTGTGTTGTCCCTTAAACAAAGCCTTAAAAAAAAAAAAAAAGAAGTCCCACAAGGTTGTTTATCAGCAGCCCAGGCTGGGGCTTTATCGGAGGAAGAGGATGAGGGGGTGCGGTGTCCATCACTCTAGCCTTGACCTCGGATAGAAGCACTGCTTTGCACTGTCAACAGGGTTATTTTACTGATTTGCAACCCCCCTATAGGGAACAACCTTCAGCGTTCCTCACGCTTCTATTGTTCTCTCTCAAGAATTCCCTGCAGTGGAACCTCCAGTATCTTATCAGGAATCCTGTTTTGTGACTTCGAGGAACTGATTTCCTAGCACTGCACTTTAAAGAAGCCGGAGGAAAGCCACACTGTAGGATCTGGTCAGATGGCCGAGGTGGTGACGAAAGGCTGGAAAAGATAAAGCAGGAAGAACGGATTGGGGCTGGGGAGGAGATCCTCCTGAAACAAGCCATGTCCGTCTTATCATTATCTTCAGTCCCCAAACTTCCTATAGAAACCAGGCTTAAGTTGTGATTCTTTTTTTTAAACTAATTCAAGCAGTAACATTTCCTGGTTGTAGAGTGTCTTTCTCCCAAAATTTTCAGTGGCTTTAGTTATTTATTTCATCTATTTTCAGGATAGGAATAATGGTTGGGATTTAAAATCAAGGAACTATTCACCAGGTTGACAAAAAGTGTGGAAAATTCAATGTCACAGTTTATTGGAGTTTCCCTGCTAGACGAAAGCAGCAAAAAATACAGGACCTATATATATATTTATGCAAATATATATACATATCTGTTTCTCAAGTCCCCTTACCTACCTTAGAGATGTTAGGTTTGGAGCTTGGAGCTCCCTGGTTGCTGTAACATTGTAGATGCCTCTGAACTAGCAAGCACTAGGGAAATGGTGGGAAGAAGGGTAGAGAAAAAGATTGTGGTGGAGGGGGGTGGTTGTCTTATGAAGTAAGCACAAATCTGAGGCAAACAAATACTTTCTTTCCTCATTCTACATTTGTAGGGTTTTGAGCTTCTTTAAAAAAACTGATTTATTTGAAACATAGAGAGACTGAGAGAGAGATTTCATCCACTGACTAATCACTTGCCCAAATACCAGCCAGGGGTGGGTAAGGCTACAGCCAGGGACCAGGAACTACACATAGTCTCCCACACAGGTGGCAGAGGCCCAAACATTTGGGCTAGCATCTGCTGCCTGCCAGGTGCGTTAGCAGGTTGCTAGATGCGAAGTGGAGGTGGGACTTGACCCTGGACGCCCGAGGGAAAGCTGGCATCCCAAGCAGCGGCTTAAGGCCTTTTACTCCACATGTTCCCTCTAGTTCACATGTCCTGTCAGTGACTGGGGAAGGACCGCTGACTTGGGAGGCCGGCCTTCCCCTTGATTTCATGAGGGCGGTGGCCTTGGACAGGGACCACAGTCACAGTTATCTGCTATGAGCTCAGAGTTTACAGCTGAGCCAAGGGTTTCCAATGACCTAAAACTGCACTTAGTGACTTGGTCAGTAACACCAGTGGAACTCAAACAATGCGCCCATCAGCTTATTAAATCAGTGTGATGGCAGTCGTGGGTAACCTCAGGGCTGTCCGGTTCTAAGGTTGCCCTATGTGGCGGTGCTGGTAACAAAGCCCACCCTCCCCCATTTCCTGTCCCTGAGTTGCCATCTGAATGCCCCTCTGTGTGTTATGAGAAGCAGGAGAATATGTGTGAGATAAAGCCAGGGTTGCGGCCTGCCAGGATGAACTGTGGGGTCAAGGACTTCTGCCAGATAGCCTTCAGGATCCACAAACAAGAAGTGTCAGGCCAGGAGGATTTTCCTTCTCATTTCTATTTTTTCCTTTTTAGTTGACCTTTTTCATTGTTAACTTTCGCATGTACATATACAAAAGCAGAAAGATGAATGAACAGCAAGCTGCAATAATGACTAACATTTATCCATTATTATTTCTCTACCAGCATGTATTTTTGGTCTATCTTTCTTGTCCGCAATAAAATGCAAAGCCTTCACTATACTGATGAAAGTTGAGTAATATTCCTAAAGTTTTATATACAGTGCATATTTAAGTTTCACTAACAATTTCAAGTACTTCCTTTTATTGTTGGTTGGAGTCAAAATTCAAACAAGATATAAATTAAGTTTGGTGGTGTCACTTGTGTTTCTTCTCATCTGTCATATTTGCTGAAGAAACGCGGTCATTTGCCCTATGAAATATCTCATACCTGCGTTTTTACTCATTGTTTCTTTGCAGTGTCTGTCATCTCATCCAGCCTCTCCTCCCTCAAATTTAACATTGATGCCTGCTCTCTTTCCAGTTTCTCTACAGTGTATCACACTAGAATTAAAAAATGAAGATGCTGGTGATACAAAAGGAATATAATGCTAGATCAATTGGGAGGCACACAGATTGGTTTGGGGGAGAGCTCAGACCACCTGAGAACTGCACACATAACTGGTAAGTGAAATTTGGGGATTGGGTGAGAGCCCCCATGGGCTGTGGGATCCAGGAAGGAAGTCTGAGGAGGCTCACACCAAAGACGCAGGCAGAGAAGTAGATGCGGCCAGGGAGACGGACTTGACCGGAGCAGCTCCAGCAGTGGACGTGAGAGAGCTGAGGACAGTTACAAGAGGGATGGGCCGCTCACTGTGCGTTGTTTACACATGCAGAAAGGAAAATTTATGCCTGGGTTTGTAAAGCTAGCCTGTCCACGAGGGGGCAGTGTGCCTGCATCCTTCCCTGGAGTACCAGGGATCTGATTCTCAGCTCCCACTCCTGACACCAGCTGCCTGACGGGGCAGACCCAAGGAGGCAGTGATGACTGTTCCAATAACTGGGTACCTGCTACTCACATGGGGGATGAAGACTGAGTTCTTGGCTCCCAGATTCAACCTTGACCACAGCCACTTACTGGGATTTAACCAGTAGATGGGAATAACCTATCCATTTGAAGTTACATTTCTTTATGAAATCTTTCCAGGTAGATTAAAATTCTACCTATTTCTATTTCTAAACAAATGTTTATTTCTCAACTACTCGAAAGGCAAAGCAACATGCATAGATACATACACACACACACACCATCTTCCATCTGCTGATTTACTGTCCAAATGCCTGTGACAGTTAGGGCTGAGCCAGCTGCCAGGAACTCTACAGGAGTCTCCCAGGTGGGCGACAGAACCAACCCTGTTAGCTTACAGGATACAGTAGCAGGAAGCAGGATTGGGAACAGAGCAGCTGGAAGCTGGCACTCTGACATGGGATGTTGATGTTTAAGGGGCAGCTTCCCTTTGGTGTCTTAGTTTTTAAACAGTCTGACAAGCAGACACCACAAACCATGTGGCAGTAGCTCTTGCTACAGCTTTTCTGTCTACCATACTTGGTACCATAATTGGTGAGCAGGACTCACCAATTCTCTATCACTCTGATATTTGATCAAAGGATTCACTTTGGAGTCATAAGTCAAGGTCACTGCAGTCCTTGATTCCCTTCCTCTTACAGAGTTGGTCTGAGTAGATTAGCATGCATCAACCACCAAGAGGGCTTCTTCTTCATGTTTTGGTAAGATTTATTTATTTATTTATTTTTGAAAAGTCAGGTTTACAGAGAGGAGGAGAGACAGAGAGGAAGATCTTCCCTCTGCTGATTCACTTCCTAAGTTGTGGCAACAGCCGCAGCTCAGCCAATCCCAAGCCAGGAGCTTCTTCCGGGTCTCCCATGCAGGTGCAGGGTTTCAAGGCTTTGGGCCGTCTTTCCCAGGCCATAAGCAGGGAGCTGGATGGGAAGTGGGGCAACCATGATTAGAATGGCACCCATATTGGATCCTGTTTTGTACGAGGTGAGGACTTTAGCCACTAGGCTACTGTGCTGGGCCCACCAGGAGGGCTTCTTAAAGGCCAACAGTTGGCCCCATCATAGTTGCTGATTCAGTGTCAGCAGGAGACCCCCATATAGTGGCAGCTTTCAGTATTTTTCCTGTGTGACTGGTCTATTTCACTTGCCATGTTTTTAAAACGTTTTGTCTTAAAGTTAACACTTTCTTGTAACAACTGAACGTTTCCCAAAACTTTTATGCATTTATAAGGCAGAGATCAGAGAGAAACAGGAAGATCTCCCATCTGCCTAGTTTACTACCCAGACCCTCACGACAGTCATAATCAGGCCAGCCAGAAGCCAGACCTCTCATGCAAGAGGGCAGACACCCAAACATTGAGTTAACCCTTGTCACCTCCCAGGGTGCACATGAGAGGAAGCTGGAATTGGAAGTGCAGTAAGAACTTGAATCCTGGTGCTTGATATAGAATATGAGTGTTCCAAGCAGCATAACCTATATGCCAAGTGCTTGCCCCTGGCATGTCTTTGGGGTTCATCCACGTTATAGCATGCCTCAACTTTGATTCTTCTACAGTTTAATAATATTCCTGTGTCTTGCACCAGCCCTATCTTATTTATCCACTCACCTGCTGATGGTGCCTTGGATTTAAGACCCGCCTTCTGGCTATAGAACAGTGCTCTTAAGAACATGTGTAGAAACACTCGAGTCTCCGCTTTTAGCTGTTTGGGGGCATAAACCTGAAGTGGAATTGCTAGGTCACATACAAACCCTGTTTCACTTCCTGAGGAACTATCACACTGCTTTCGATAGGTGATGCACACTTTATATCCCCACCGACAATGAAAGGGCTCCGGTCGCTCCACCTCCTCACCAACACCTGTTGCATCTTCTGCTCTGGTTCCTCTATGCTTCAAAGTTAACATAAGTGGCAAGCTCCTGAGATGCAGGAACATTTTTATTTTAAGAAATTTGCAAAGCCTGGAATGTGTGGGGCATGTAGATGTCATTTGCTGACTGTGACAACAGTTTAGCATTCTTCATTTTCGTAGCCCTGACGTGGTTGTGGCTGCCTGTGTTCGACTATGCTGCTCCATCAGCAGGTGGGAGCAGAGTTAGGTTGGTCGCCCTCCATGGCATGAAAGCATTCAGCTTTAAAGGCCTATTTTCCATATGCCTTGGATAAGCATGGCAGCCTGTAGGATCTTCTTGGTTGGAGATTATGTCAAACTGGACACAACTTCTTAGAACTGTCAACGCCCAATTTAGTTTGGTCTTGAACAACATTGTTGAGTTGAGGAGCCCGCAGTGGACTGTGAAGGTGGTCCTGGCATAATGAAGGCGTTCTTCTGTGACTTGGGAGTTGAGGACATCAGTCTCATCATGGTCACTGACTTCACTGATGGTCACAGACATCCCTCCCTCTCAGTGACTGTGGAAAACATTCACCATCAGGGACTGAGGAAGAAGTAACACCACTTGCTTTTTAACAAACACAGACTCTAGGGAGGGTGTTGGGGACAGTGGCTGTCATGCTGTTTGTCAAAGCAGCTGGGCATGCGTCCTCTCACTGCTCTGATCCCAGGTGTGTGCTAATGCACGCTGAGGGGAGTTGCTGGTGATGACTCAACAAGCTGGGTTCCTGCCACACACGTGGGAGACCCGGATTGAGCTCCTGCTCCTGGCACTGGGTGGCCAAGCTCTGCCTTTTGAGAATGACACCAGTGGATGGGAGATCTGTGTTGATGTCTGTCTGTGCCTTTCACATTAAACAAATAAGTAAATAACAGGTCCTAGGAACAAAGTTTTGTATATAAATATTTTAAAGAATAAGAAGCTTTGTTTCAAAAATTGAATAAGTATTTATTGTTCCGGAAGGTACGTTGCTTTTTATACATATTTCATAAATGATACAGGATTGTACACTGTTCTGTGTTTTGGTATTTCTTTACAGGACCTTTCTCCCATTCTCCTTCCCTTGCCTCCCACATATCCCACAAGGATCTGTGCACTGCACTCGGCTGTTTCCTTCTTTAAAACTCTTGGCACAAACAGGAGAAATGGTATTAAAAATAATCCGTACGATTTAACAAAAAGAAAGGGGGCAGGAAGTGGGAAGGGGAAATGTGGGGAGGCATGCATCCTCTCAGTCCTCCTGCCTGGAGGTGGTGGCAGTGGCAGGCGGCAGGCAGCGGGAGCAGCAGTCCTGGCTTGGCCTTCAACCTCTGCCAGGCACCTGGGGTCTGGGGTTTTCTTTTCATACACAATGATCCTGAAGCAGGAAGGGGAGGAGGGGAAACCCCCTTGCCACAATGAGGCGGGAGGAATCTTGAGGAAGACAAGATACAGCCAGCCGCGTGGCAGGCCCCTGCCACCCCTGCTACCCCGCCCCACGGCGGTCACGGGCAGACCACTGGACAGGATTCCACCTGGCTCTACAAGTGCACATTCGCACAGAGGCAGAAAACTCGCTGAGAGTTGTAAGATCAATTCTTCTTTCTTGCAATTTAAGATAAGAAAAAAAAAAATAGGGTGCAGAGGGTAGGAAGCCATAGAAATGTAAGTTGCACCTTTGAGGTCCCCACCCCTGATTGCTGGACTGGAGGCGGGCTCCCCATCAATGCAGGTACCAGTGTGCTTACTGCCTTGGTGACTTCCCAAGCCTCCAGGCCAGGCGGGGGCAGCCAGGTGGCCTGGAACAGTGCCACAGGCAGACTAACAGCAGGGACATTATTTGGGTTCTGAAATGGCTATACAGAGCCATGATTTCTAGCCAATTCGTTAACCTTACAACATCTTCCTGATTTGGTAAGACAGCTAGGCACCCCTCCTTTGCTTTGAGCAGGGAAGGGACTTGGGAATACCAGGGGAAGAGTCCAGAAAGAAGAGAAATTTTCCTTCCTCTCAAAGACTAATCAGGTTAAAAAAAAAAAAAGGCAAAGCCAAAACCTCATGCAGTGTTACCATTGATTTCTAAAGACCGATCCAGAGAACCAGGATACACTGACAGAGAAGAAGGTATTACGGGATAATCCAACACATCAATCCTAAGGGTCACGTGCATAAAATTAGTGTCACCAACAGGAATAGGTGGATGGTCAGAAAAAGGGCCGAGATGGGCAACATTCCCTGGTAACCTGGCAGAGCCTGGGTCCCATCTGAAATGGAACTAATGATATGGGCTCAGGCTCTGTTTACTATCCACGTACCACAAGGATTTGCATTTCTGATAATTTATTTACTCCTATGTCAAAATAAGAAAAGTTAAATAAAAAACAAAATTAGAGTAGGGTGCTGGTGTGTTACTGTTTTGCTGACCCTGCAAAGATGCAAGAAATACACACCCCAGCAGCATTTTCCCTTTATGAATCTCTCAATTGTGTAACTGCATCACTTTCATCCAGAAACTGAGATGCTTGATTAAGACATTATTTTACTAAGCCCTTGGAGCTTATATTCCACAATACCTGATCCTCAGATTTTAACATTTCCTTACTCGCCACCCCCCAAGATCCTTTGTGTTTTTGTTTTATGATTAAAGGTAAAAGCTCTCTACCCGGACATGGCCCCTCGCTTCCACCTGCAATGCTTTCATTAAAAAGGCAAGAGTTAGAAACAGGCTCTTTCTGCCGGGAACCCAAGACTCTGCAAATCAATCTTTTTCCCCAATTTGTCGAAGGGGCAGATGTACTTGTAATGGGTCTCTCAGTCGTTTAAGGTCCATTTCTGCCTAAAATAAAAACACAAGAAGAGGGAAACTGGTCAGCCAGGCTAACAAAAGAGCACTGTCCGTCCTGCGTTCCTGAACCGGGGAGCCATCTCCATCCTCGGGGAAGCGGAGAGGCTGGGCAGATAAAGGCCACGCATGCAAGGCAGAGGACAGCCAGCAGAGCTTCCATCAAGCTGGTGCTGGCCGGTTTCAGCTGTCACTGGCCACGTGCTGCAGGCTGAGGGAGCTAACGATGCAGGAGCACCTGAGACGTGTCCGTCTCCACGGCACTTCTCAACTGAAAAGTCCTTTTACAAAATGTGCCTGCAACTAGAACTCTAATTTAATGCTACATAGAACTTTAACAGTAACTGTTCAAGTTTTTCACTTAGCCAGTGAATTTTAAACCAGTGATACATAGTCAACTGTAGCATTTTATGTGTGTGTGCATATATGTGTGAATATATATATATAATTTATACATATATTTATGTGTAAACACAGGTAGTATATATAATTTATATAAATAATCTTTATATATGTAAATGATTTATTTTATTTGGAAGGTAGAGTGACATACATACACACATACACAGAGCGAGAGAGTTGAGAGAGAGAATCGATCTTCCACCTGCTGGCGTATTCCCCAAATGCCCGCAATAGCTGAGGCCTGGCCTGGTCTATGCCAGGAGTCATGTTAGGTGGCAGAAACCTAAACACTTGAGCCATTATCTGCTGCCTCCCAGTGGCCTTACCAGGGAGTTGGATGGGAAACAGGTTGAACTGGCACACTGATATGAGATGTGGGCATCCCAAGTGGTAGCTTAACCCATGGTATCCCAATGCCAATCACTGCAGTTTTTTTTTTAATCAGGGCTGGTGCTGTGCAATAGGGGGTAAAGCACTACTTGTGATACAGGCATCCCATATGGGTACCAGTTTGATGCCAACTGTTCCAGTCTTAATCCAGCTCGCTGCTAATGGGCTGGGCAAAGCAACAGAAGAAGGCCCAAGTGTTTAAGCCTCTGACACCCACTTAAAAGGCCCAGATGAGACTGTGGGCCTAACTCCACCCTGGCTTTTGTGACCATCTTTTGTGACAGGGTATGACAGATCTCTCTGTTTCTGATGTTCACACCTAAAAAGTTTTTTAAATCCACTGAGGGATAACCTATCCCCGAGAACAGGGTTGGATCATTCTTTCAGCTTATCCATGGGAAGCACTGTCGTTACAGATGGTAACAATGCCACGCAAAACGGCGGCAGAATTTAATTTTTATCAAAGTTACCTGAGCAATTGCATCCTTGAGTTGGTTGTATTTCTCTAGATCGAAACGTGACTTTTTGGCTCCTTTATGGAAAAATAGTAAATATTGTCTGTCTCTGGCTTCTGGATAAACATATTCCTATAAAAATAAAGGGGAAAATTAATTATCATTCCTTCATGTATTATGCTCAGTTTCAACACATACGCACACATAAGGAAATACATGAACACGTACTGGATTAATATCTAATTTCTTCTGAAGAACTTTTACTGTGAAAAACACACAGAGGAGTAAACACAAAAAGTTACTACCACAATGAATTGTCATGTAGCAAACATGCCAACCATCATGAATAAAATCACACCAAACAGCGCCAACCATCCAGAGGTGCTCCCTACCTTCTGTCTCCTCCCAATCACAAATACGTCTTTCTCCCCAAAGTGAACTCGACCTTGAACTTTAGGCTAACTGTTCTCTTGCTTTTGAAACTTTCTCCCTGAGCAGCGCTTAACGATACAGCTTAATCTTACCTATTTTTAAAATTTCATAATACAGAGTCATATAATACATACTATGTCTACTTTTGTTCAATATTATGTTTGTGAGCTTTCTCTTTTGTGTGTAGCTATGGCCTACTCATTTCCATTGCTATACGGTACTGTGAATAAATGACAAGTTACTAATCCATGTTATTACTGACAGGCAGTTGGGTTGTTCCTGGAATTGGTGCCCATTTGGGAAGCTGACTGTGCCACAACACTGATGCCTAAGCATTTCTGAAACACGTAGTATGTTATTACTACCTATAGTCTCTCCACAGCGCAACAGAGGATGGGTACTTCATTGTTCCTTTTCATTGCAACCCAGGCGCCTGCTGACCAGCCTCCCCGGCCTCTTGGAGCCACTGGACACAGGAACTCTTTAAAAACAGGCTTTTCTTTCCATTGTTGGATGTTTCTGAGATTTTTCTCTTTCCCCTGGACTTCTGGAGTACTGACACGTCCAGATGCAGCTTTCTTTTTTGATAGTTGGTACTGTGACTGGTTTTTCACCATTTTGGCTCTTAAAACATGACTTCTTCCCATTCTCTCTTCTGTTTCTGAGACTTCAACAAAATTGAAAATAAACTTGATTTTTTTTGTTTTGTTTTGCTGTATCTTCTGTGTCTTCTGCTGTTTCCTATCCTTCTGTCTTTTCTTGTGTCACTTTGACTACTTTCTTTTTATTTTTTTAGGTCATCATTTCTCTCTTCAGCTATGTGTCAGCTGCTGTGGAAGGTATTCATGACATTTTAGGCATTTTCATTGAGTTCTTTTTCTTTTTTCTTTTTTCTAAGTCAAGTCATCTGACAATATGCTCAACCTTGCCTTTCATCTCCATGGATATCACAGGCACAGTTATTTGAGCAGCTGTGTTTGATAATGTGCCTGTTTCTTGTTGATAATTTCTGAAGCCATTTTCTGAGTATCTGGTTGCTTTTGATTGCATGACAAACTTGGTATTTGCAAAAGTATCTGCAGAAATAATCTGAGGTTTAGGATGTTGTCTCCCGCCACGGGTGGTTTACGTTTGATTTGCCAGGAGCCTGCACTCTGGGATTAACATTACACTGGGGCAACCTCATACAATTTCCAGCACTGACAAGAATGAAAAAGCAGACAGAACTCAGTATTCCACCATGGGAGCCTCTGGAGGCCCTGAACCAAAACAGCAGTGCTCGGCAGTCCCTGGGCACCAGGCTTTATGATTTTTGTCCTATTAGGTTATCAAGTTCAGTTCAACATCTAGATCACTCGGCCATGTCTCCTTTATTAATCAGCATAAATCCCAAGGGAAAATGCACACATACACCTCAGTTCCACCTTGTGGCTCTTCTGACCCTTGCTAGTCACTCTGGGTACTTTGTCAGCTCTCTCATATCTCCAGGAAGATGTGTATTAGCCTTGTCCAACAATGCTAACTTGTCCAACAATGTCCTCATGGGAGAATCCTGTCCTAATGGGATTGGTGCAAGTATCCAATATGCTTTAACTAGCAGCAGAAGTAAATCTTAATTGATTGATGATGCCAGATAATGCGATGAGTGGTAGCTAAAGGGCCTGTGGAAGTTTTTTAAATGATTAAAACTGAGGTTTGGATCAGGAACACTAAGGGAAAGTGCTGTGGCATGGCGGTTTAAGTACTTTTGTAATGCCTATATCCCGTACTGAATTGCCTGCTACTGAGTCCTATCTTTGCATCTGATCAAGCTCCCTGTTAATGTACCTGGGAGGCGGTGGACAATGGCCCTGACCCCCATGTGGGAGGCCCAGACAGTTTGTGGCTTCTGCCAGGCCAGCCTCAGGCATTTGGGAGAGTAAACCAACGAGCAGAGGATCTCTCTGTCTCCGCCTCTCTGTCACCCTGCCTTTCAAACAAACAAACAAACAAACAAACAAATAAATAAATGTGGTTAAAAAATTAGAGGTTGGCTTAGCATGCTGATTCTCTGTGGTGCCAGCATCCCATATGGGTGCTGATTTGTGGGCTGGCTGCTCTATTGCTGATCCAGCTGCATGCTAATGGCCTGGGAAAGCAGTGGAGGATAGCCCAAGGCCTTGGGTCCCTATATCCACAAGGAGACCCAAAACAAACTCCTGGCTCCTGATTTCAGAGTGGCCCAGCTCTGGCCTTGGTAGCCATTTAGGGAGTGAACCAGCCAATGGAAGACTCTCTCTTTCTGGCTCCCCACCTCTCTCTTTGTAATTCTAACTTTCAAGTAAAATAAATAGATTTCAAAATAATACCAATTAATGGAATAAGTATTAGGTTAAGAACTTGACAGCTCTCTACATTCATCTCAATTTCTATGACTTGGCTATGAACTGTCATTAATTATGATATAAATCTTTAAGACTGACAAATCTATCCTATGTTTTCTTTTTCAAGAAGAAAAAGGAACATCTTTTGGATTTTCTTTTTCAAGAAGAAAAAGGAACAACTTTTGGATTTCCATTCTGGAAATCTCATGATTTGGTAACACCTGAAAAGAGATGTGGATGGCTTAGTCATGACAGTCAGTGAGGAAGAGGTTAAAAACACAGGGAACACAACAAGATATCCTGGAATAAGAAACTGGAAGGAGGAAATATGACTAAGAATGGGGAGGACTGACACAGAACAGGGCAGTGTCACCTATTCTTTGAACCTGAGGGAAATAATACAAAAGTAGGTACTGATGCAGTTAAATTCACGGAATTTAGAAATTAGAAAGCTTGTATCTATTAACTTAAATTTTCTAGGTATGAGAGGCAAGGTTAAGGTAGGATGGAGTAATTGATATGAAGCCTTACGATAATTTAGGGATAAAACAGGAGGAAATATAATTGGAAACACAAAGAGTGGCCCATTCCATAGCATTACTTCATTTTTCTCTAGCAATATTGAGTAGCCTGGAGAGGATCAAGAGTGGATTTCAGCCAAGGTCAGGAGTCTGAGCACAAATGGTAGAAAGGCAGAGGGGCAGGAGTTGTGGGAAGCTAATAAGAAGTCACAAATATGGCCTAAGTTGGAAAGAAAAGTAAGACATGCAGGAGGAACTTTTTAACAGTAAAAAGTTAAAAAAGATGTCAGTAGCCTACAGGTCCGGATGAAGGCAAAGGAGGGAATAAGCAAACAAACAAACAAAAGCAAGGAACAAAAAGAAAAGTTAATATAGTCAGAAATGAACATACTAACCTACACATGGGATAGTTCTAGGAAAAAGGTCCTGAATGCCCAATGATGTGGTCTGGTGAGGCAGAATATAAACAGAAACATAAATATAAACATAAATATAAACAATGACTGTTAGAACTGAGGAGACAAAGCACAATAAAAGCTGTGAGTGTTTCCTACTTTTTATTCATTACCTCTCTGCTACATACATTTTTGGACTTTTCAAAGTTTACTCATATATTTATTACCTCACTGTTTTCATTCCCCCAAAACTTATTTTCAGCACCTTAGTGAAGCATTTCCATGGAATAACCATGGTCTGACTATGACAGTGGGATGGATTGTCTACACTGCTGTGGAGTTAGCTCAGATTGGCAGTTCTACTTCAATTTTTACTTATTTGAGGTGCACACACACACACACACAGAAGCAGAGAGGGGTGGAGAGAAGAGGGTGGCGTGAGATGTGGAGAGGCGAGGGATGGAAAATGAGAGGGTTCCTGTTTGCTCTCAAGTGTCCACAAAGCCAGAATGTAACCGAGGAGTCCCATGTGGGTGGCAGGGACCCAGCTGCTTGAGTCATCACGTGCTGCCCTCTTGGGGTCTGCCCTATAGGAAGCTGGAGTGAGGAAGCAGGACCAGATATCTAATCCAGGCAACTCTGCTACAGGAGACATGGGACGTGGGCGCCCTAATGGCTGTGCTGTTTCCTTTCCTTATGGCAGCAACTGGTACTCATGTTTCATTGAGAGCATCTCATTTGATTTAATAATTTTCAGTGATCTTTCCATCTTATAAAGATTCTTTTGGGATGTAACTTAGTACTGGGGTTTACCATCACACATTGCTTAGGGAGACTATGTCCTGGACAATGCACCATTAGATGATTTCATCATGTCAGTGTCACAGCATGTCTTTACCACGCCCAGATGGTACGTCTCACTGCACACCTGGGCTATATATGTATACATGTGGTTCATCGAGAGAGAAATGCCAGTAGGCTAGATTGTTACCAAAAGCAGTTTATCATAACACCAATTTAGGAGGGTTTAAATACTGTTCAAGAGGTATTTTGCTTCATATGTTAATTATGAATGCTAGTTAGTCAGAAGAATATTTTATCTGAGAAATTATTTACATTTATTTGGGTAATATTTTCCTATTCATAAAAGAATAGTAAATGCTCTGCTACTGCTATTTATGTAAGAAAGAATGTTTTGGGAATCAGAGATGTGGAACATCCAATAGGACAAGATGTTAAAAATCCCACGTGATGAGAAGAAAAAAAATTGCTTGAGCACTGTGTTTAAGCCTAATATTTGTATTTATCTATAATTCAAGAAAAACACTTACAAAACACCATTTTAGTGAGTGGACACTATTTGTCCAACATGAAGCCAACAGAAGGCAGCATAATTAAGTGGAAAGGGCAGTCTTTGGGCATCAGGTCAACCTGGGTTCAACTCCTCGTCTCAGTTTACTAGACAGAATGCTGGGTAGACCATCCTCTCTGAACCTTGGCTCCTTCACCTATACAATGAACACACGGATGCCAGCATCGTGGTACGGTGGGTTCAATCACTGCTCAGGAAACTGGCATCTCACGGATGTGTGGGTTTGAGTCCTGGCTGCTCCACTTTCGCCCCAGCTGCTCTCTGCTAAAGTGCCTGGGAAAGTAGTGGAAGATGGTCCAAATGCTTGCATCCCTGCCACCCATGAGAAAAACCAACTGGAATTCTAGGCTGCTGGCTTCAGCCTGGCCCCATCCTGGTCACTGCGGGCCATTTGGGGAGTAAACCAGAGAATGGAGGGTCACTCTCCTTCTTTCTCTCTGTAACTCTGCCTTTCAAGTAAATAAATAATTTTTAAAAGAAAATTGAGGTAAATACCGGATTGAGATGAAGTGTTTTTGCTACTGGAGATAAAGTGCCTGTTATATAATTAAACTCAGGAAAAGTTAGTTAATATTAATGCTGAAGCCACAGACAGGGCTTTTACAGAAGTGAAACAATGTTTAATCCCTGGCAATCAAGAAAGTACTATTTTGTTCAAGATGGAGGCATGGGTGTCATTTATTTCATGACCTGGTCACTAGGTATTATGGATATTTGGCCCTGTGTGACACGGTAGAGAAACAGTGAAGAAAACAGGATGCCAGTCTCAAAAACGCAGTCTAGTCCAAGAGCAATGACACCGTAGAGTGATTTTAACGCAAGGCAGCAAGGGAGAGTGAAACAGAGATGCAACGTACTCAGCAATTCAGAGGGAGAGGTACACGGTAGTGGGGTGGGGAAGGCGGTCGGAGGTTTGTGAAAGGTACTCTGACAGGTAGAGATCAACAGGGAGAACCTTCCCCATTTCAAGATGGGTGTGAAGTAGGGAATGAAATGGTAGGAGACTGAGGAGCATTTTCAGGAATAGAGACTGTAATTTGATTTGGTAATACGGAATATGTACACAAGGAAATTTGCAGACACAGGGACAGGAAAGGTAACAACCACCTGCGGACACTCAGTAGTAGCAGATAAAGAAACCTTTAAAGGTGTGAGTGTGTGTGGGAGAGAGATGGGGAAAGAGGGAGACAGAGAGCTCACAGAGTGGTTATGAGCAGGTCCACAGATGCAAGAATAACAATGAACATGAGGCAAGACTGGTACGGCTGCTGGGTTCTGTTCACAGTGACCAGTATCAGCCAGACGCTGACTACGGCCTGGGGCGCTAGCAAGCAGCTGAAGGAATATAAACAGTTTATTTCTCTCTTCTCTATCAGACATATTTGGGAGGCCTAGAAAGGTTAAGTCACATTCCTGACCTTTCATTTTCTCACAAACTGAAAAAACAAACAAACAAAAAACAACAACATGTTAGGACCACTGATCTTACAATAGAAAGAAAACACTTGTGCTTTTTGAGAAGCGACTCTCAGCATTCCACTGAAACCGAAGGAAACAGAAACAGCTTCTTATATATCTAAGTTCAAATGCTTGTTATTCAAGGAAATGATAGGCTGGATCTGGGGTGGTCATCACATATAGCATAATAAATATCACTAAATTCCTCATACTTCTAGAAATGACACTATGAATTTCCAAGATAATTAAAGTAGCAATGGCAACAAAAATAAGTTTGAGCTGCTCAGTAAAGGAGCCTTGGTTGGTAAGAAGAGACCAAGAGTATGAAGTGATTAATTTTAATTTATGAAGTAGTTAATTTTCACCTTTCTTCAAGGAAGTAAAAACAAATGAACAAAAACCCACAAATACTATCCTCTAAAAATACTTCGAAGCAATTCAGAATTTAATGTATTTCACTGGTTACAACTATTTTTCCATTCCAAGAACTCAATAAAGTGTGACATTCCCCACCCAACTGTTACATTAACTATATATCACACAGAAAACTGAGCCAAAGCAGGTGACCGAGTTACCCTATAGCTGACCATTCCTCCACTTGGCCTTCTTACTGCATTCTTACTATTGCTTGCCTTTATGAATTTAGTGGCTTCTATGGTTCTCTAAATGGTCTGAGGCATCTAAGAAAGCAGAAACCATGTCTTAAATCTCCCTTTGTATCTTTAGCACTGAGAGCAGTGCCTGATAGAAAATGGACATATGTGTGCCTGTTTACCACCTGTGTGTGTGTGTATATATATAAAGATAAATTAGTAAAGACACCTGGCCTTAAAAAGAATAACAACAAGGAACAACACACACAGCCAAGACTGCATTATTGTCGCATAAAAAGTTGACTAGGAGAGAAATTCTTACCTGGCGTGTCATTACAAAATACGCATACATTGCCATGGCACTTCCGTAAGTGATGAAGTAGGTGACGGGCTCCATGATGTCCCAGGAATATTCCCACCAGGTAAGCCGGGCCAAAATGCCAAACTGTGTGGCCATGTAGGCAAGGCCACCCCATAGCACCAAGGTGGTTCTCTTCTCAGCTTTTTTGCTAATCTCAATTCGTACCTATTGGGCACATATGACCAACCATAAATAAAGCCTTCTGACAGAACCAATGAAAAATTCTTGAATCTGTTACTATTCTTCCTTAAGAAACAACTTAGTCTTAATTCTAGTAAATTTTCATATTACTTGGCTTCTTCACTGTTATCTATGGTTTTTACTAAATAAAATAATAATGTTTTACAGAGCATTGGTGTTTCATATTTCATCCTAGAAACAGCTGAAAATATGGGAGTGAGTAACTCAGTTTCAACAGCTCTTCATCTAACCGTAAGATTATCTTCTTTGAAAGAGGGAAATGAAAACATAGCAGTGTTCTCTCACTGCCACAGACAGATTTAATCTACTGTCAGTCTGAATTCACACGGCATACCCTGGCCCTGGGTAGAACGGCAGTGAGTCAGAGCATGGGCTCTGGATCTGTTTATTCTCCAACATGGAAATAATCCCATAACCCAAAAATTCAACCCCCTTACTAACTCCCACACAAATCACAAAATTACAAATACCTACTCTAAATCTTCTTCCATACTAAAACACAACCTTATCAATCACCACAAAACTAAAAAACCCCCCCCCAAAGATAATTAACACAAACTTCCCCCCCTGCTAATATTACCCGACCTCTTATAAAGAAACCCCCAAACCAATTTACATTATCCACCCACTTATACCTTTCAATAATCATTTTTACTCAACCTCTAAAATCCTACCTTCTTGTTGAGTTAAATCTCCGTGACGCACTTCTAGAAAAAAATAAAAAAAAAAACCACCCCCCTAACCCCCCCCCCCCCCAATACCAAAACACACACAACACTCACACAAGCCCTGAGAGTGTCGACAGTGGGGGCTAGTGACTGTCACCTTCGCAATAAGTCACCTGGCGAGCTATGAGGTCTATGTCAAAGAAATCAATGAAAACGGATGAAGTGCCACGCAATGACCGAGCGCTTCACCTCAATATAAACCACTAATTTTATTATTTAATTTTAATACGAGAGATAGACCTAACATATTCGACACATAGATGAGAGCGATCTAGGCGAGCAGAAATATATATATATATCACTGCTTCATCAAGAACGCTCCCCACGCTCCTACGCCATAAAATCACAGGTACAACGAGCTGCTCTATCTCTTCAATAGCAACGGAAACTTATTCCAAGACACTTCCATATGACCCACCCCCATACTTTACACACGAAACACGCTTAACAAGGCATGGAGTATTGCCTAGGGTGAAATATCCACACCTGTTCCTGTGTGACATACGGCTGTGTCGACGTGGCTGCGGGAGGAAGACACCAGCACAAGAATCCTTACCCATCATGGCTCCGATTTACAAGGCGTTCTCTTAATTCTTATCGCACTTAGAAACTTTAGAATGGTAGATTTCAGAATCTGAGAGGTTGGTTCAGGATCCAACCTCCAAGGATAGTGAAGAAAAACTGTAATTATATCTAAAAATTAAAAAAAAACCCTGTTATTAAAGGAAGTTTCCTTGCTTAATCTTTGTAATTTAATTTCTTAAAATTTAAATGCTTGCAGCCTTATTTTCAAGATGCTCATTGTGAAACATTCAAAGAAGTATAAAGGAGATCTGTATTAGAATTTTGCAACATATTCCTGCTGATTTTGTATTTGTACATAGATATATAAATATATGCAGCTAAAGATATAAAACACATTTAAAAATTGGATAATAATATACACTGTTTTAGAATTTGTTTACCATAATTCATTATGAATATTTTCTACAGAAAATTAGCTCCACAAAATCATGTTTAGCAATTGCACAATATTCCACACACTATTCACTGTTGACTTGGTTACAATCACTACCCATTGTGCTCACAACCCTTCCCAATCAGCAACTACTCCAAATCTGTCTGAAAGTGGTAAATCTGGCCAAAGGCAGTGTGGTCAGAAATCACAGCTCTAAGTTCATCATTAAGACTCCAAATTTCCTTTTACAATCTTTCCCGAGCTTTCACTGGGAGATGTTTATGGTGCCGTCCTGGAAATCAGTTGGCTAAGTGGACTGACATAGCTCAACTGCGAGAAACTTAAGAAGCAAAAACAGAAACGGTGTGCTCTGGCCGCAAGGGCCAAGCGCGAGACGGGGCTGTTCACCTTTTCCAGGGGAGCCAGCTGCTCTTTGAGCGCCTCTAATCTCTCGATGAGCTCCCTCTCCTTGTTCAGCTGGTGCTGCTCGATGCACAGTGTGGTGTACAGCTGCTGGACGAGTGTCTTCACGTCGTTCAGCGTGGCAGCATTTTCATGGCTTAGGAGGTCTGAAAAGAAAGGGGTCGCCATCTTAAAAAATGTATGTCAATCAAGAGTCACTCTCCCAGAGACTGGAAACAGCAAGAACAAGTCGGACTGATCCACTGCTGGTACCACACTCCCAGTGTTGCCCCAGGCAAAGCGATAGCTCTTCTCTCGAGAGGAGTTGTGCACGGATATAGAGCAAATTCTTCGTTGGACCAGCAGCCTGAATATTCAGAACAAAACCCACTTTTCCATTCTTGGAAGTCTAAATGCTCACAAGCTGTTAAAACTGAGGTGCGCGGTAAGAAAAACAATGCTAATAATGATATTCATTAAATAAAGACAAAAAGATAAAGCGTGTGTTAGAAATAGGGGAAGAATCAATCTGATTAGGATATTTATTAAAGCACTGATTTATAATTTATGGATTTGCTACTTGAATTGATTTTCTTGAGCAATTCTTGAAGAAAAAATACACAATTTCAAATCTGTAAATTAAAAGATATAAATAAAAATAGCATTACCCTAATAATCTTAACTTCCATAGCATACCAACTTTTACTCAATTCTGTTAAGGAAAGACAAAGAATAGTTGTATGGGTGTCAACATCACATCAGTTCTAAATGGTATGAAATTATAAGAATGACTGAAAGGGTAAAAGCTTCAATTCTTTGATTCAATGGTGTCTATTGAGAGTAGCAGCTATTTCCAGAAATCCAAAGAACATGTTTTAAGAATCTAAATCTCAGCTGATTTCAGGTATCAAGAAATTAAAACAAAAACAAAAAAAGACATTAGAACAAAGTCTTTGTTTCAGAATCTTTTTTTTAAAGATTTATTTTTATTATTTTTTATTATTGGAAAGGCGGATATACAGAGAGGAGAGACAGAGAGGAAGATCTTCCGTCCGATGATTCACTCCCCAAGTGAGCGCAACGACCAGTACTATGCCGATCCAAAGCCAGGAGCCTCTTCCGGGTCTCCCACGCGGGTGCAGGTTCCCAATGCCTTGGGCTGTCCTCGACTGCCTTCCCAGGCCACAGGCAGGGAGTTGGAAGGAAAGCAGGGCCTCTGGGATTGAACCGGCGCCCATAGGGGATCCCGGGCGTGCAAGGCGAGGACCTTAACCACTTGCGCCACCGTGCCGGGCCCTCAGAATCTTTTTTTAAAATGGATTTATTTAATTCAAAGGGAAGAATGACAAAGATATAGACACACTAGGGAGATCTTCTATTCCCTGGTTTATTCCTTGGATGCCTGGAACAGCCTTGACTTAGGCTAGGCCAGGACCGGAGGCAGGGACTCCACTGGGGCGTCCTCTGTGAGTGGTTCAGCATGCACAGACTCCAGCATATTAACAGGAAGCTGGATCAGGCTGGGATTTGAGAAGGTTCCTCACCTCGGGATTCAGTCTTTGTAAGCAATGGCTTAGCCCATGACATCTCCACACTCATCCCTAGAATCTTTATCAGCTTTAAATGTGACTCTGTTAGGCACAGCCTAAGGCTAGCCCTCTTTTAAATCAAAATAAGTAAGCCACAGTCAGAATTCATCACATATTTCAGATATTCCTCAACATGTCATTTGGTATAGCTATTGCAAAAATCCAATCAATGAAAACATTCAAATGGGGTATCAATTGGATTAAAGAGCTGAGAAATAGCATCCAACACAGTATCCTGCATGTTTCAGTGAATGTGTATGGAATTAATGAGATAAAAAAACCAAGAACACTTTTCCAAAAGTCACCTATGGCAACAGCATCTTCTTAGCACTAGTTCTAGCTTCCATTGGCATTTAATTTTCAGGTTTACAATTGCTCTCCACAGGGCTGGAGTCACTTGTCCAGAACATCAGAGGGAAGTGGCAGAGTCCAGGGTTACCTAGACCTGGGCTGAGCTCTAACGCTTCCACTGTAGCCGCAGTCATAGCTCCCCTGTAAGCTCGGCCCCCTTTTCAAAAAGATCCAGCTCCAGAAGGTATTTGTTATCTATTAACGAAATCATCTTGCTTAGATTATCCTAGGCTATCCTCAAAATTACAGGACAAGCATGGTGCTGGCAACCTACACACAGACCTGAGAAGTAAGCTTAAGAAATATTTTTGCATTCCATAATGGATTTAGTCATTGTAGAAGTAGGGTGAGGATCAATTAAGAGGTGATGATTCTTCTTCTGAATGGGTTGTAGCAACAATATGCCCAAACTATCAGAGTTTTGTAGGGAGTAGAAAAGCTATGCCTTGGGGAACAGTCAAGGACTGCTTTTTCTGTTTAAATTCTACACACTTACTTTTTCTAGTTGATTTTCAATTCCACCATATTCTCAATATACTATTTGCTTAGAAACCCAAGGAAGTAAGGAAGGGGGCAGGGAGGGAAGAAAGGAATCTGACAGAAATGTTCTCTTTCCTAACAAAGCCTGGACATGATGAAAATAAACAAATATGGAAACATAATCTGAGGATCTATAACCCTTGAAATCAGGCTTAACATTTATTTTACAGGAAAAGTAAGTTTCCATTAGAATGTCATTCACTGAAGAATTCTCAGTTCAAACACTAATATTCAGAGGCTAGAGCTCCGGTGTGCTGCACAAAGCCACCACCTGAGATGTCGGCACCTCTGCGTGCCTGCTCTTATCCTAGCTGATCCACTTGTGATCCAGCTCCCTGCCAGCGGCCTAGGGAAGCAGGGGAGGATGGTCCTTGCCCTGGGGCCCCTTCACCTGTGTGGGGGATGCAGAAAAAGCTCCTGGCTTTACCCAACTCCAGCCACTGCAGCCATGTGGGGAATGCATCAGCAGATAGGAGATCTCTGTGTCTCTCTCTCCCTCTCTAACTCTGACTTCCAAATAAATAAATAAATCCTCAAAAAAGAAAAAAAAATGTAATCAACATGAGCGAAAACTGAATAGTTTTACCGTAAATTTAAACAATATTTTGGTGGCTGCAGAAATGTTTATCAGAGGATGTAAAATTTTGGTTTACTATGTTGCTTTTATATTCTTGAAAACTGCTAGGAGAGTAGATTTTAAGTGTTCTTTTAACATTTAAGTAAACATTTTGTAAGGAAATGCATATTGTAATTAGCTTAATTTGGCTTTTCCAGACCTGTATACATTTTGTACAACACTACATAATAAATAGAGAGAGAGAGAGAGAGAGAGATTCTTCTAAAAAACAACACATGCCTTTTGGCTGCCCAAGCTGCGTCCGCAGACCAGCGCCCTGCACAGCAGAGGCTTCGACTCCACCCCACACAGATCACTTTCATCTGAATTTCTATGTTGGTTCCTCCCAATACAGAACAACAGAAACGGAATTCCAGCTCAGCAGACTGACAAGCTGTAAAACCACTCTAAAACAGGATGTGCAGATTTCATCACAGCAGGGCATAACGAATTCATTCTGTCTTAAAACTGCAGTACATTGTATGAGTGCTTGTACCTTTAACTGAGCTACTTGTTTCATAGTCTGTAAATACATTGCATTTTTGTCTTTTGCTATAGACTGTTGCAGCCTCAATGACTGAATATATGTCACTTTAGGACGTGTACGTGTATATATGTAGGAAAAAGTACTATGTCAAAGGTACATGGATCAGAAACTCGAATTCTGAGCAAGAAGCAAATGCCAAGCATACTGAAACAATCCAGAGACCTTCCTAACTGTAACAACCCAGAAGCCATTAGAGGAAGAACTGATGTAAAGTGTCACATTTTCTACATAAAAGGACCCATAATATGAATATCAACTTTTTTTGAAGATTCATTTTCACTGGAAAGTCAGATATACAGAGAGGAGAGACAGATGAAGACCTTCCATCCACTGATTCACTCTCCAACTGGTTGCAATTGCCGTCACTGAGCTGATCTTAAGCTAGGAGCCAGGAGTCTCTTCTGGGTCTCCCACATGGGTGCAGAGTCCCAAGGCTTTGGCCTGTCCTTGACTGCTTTCCCAGGCCACAAGCAGGGAGCTGGATGGGATGTGGGGCCATTAGGAAATGAACCAGAGCTCATTTGGGATTCTGGCTCATGTAAGGCAACAATTTTAGCCACTAGGATACAGCACTGGGTCCATGAATATCAACTTTTAAACAAATTAAAAATAGTAAAGCAAGTTAAAATCACAACATGAATCTTAATTATTTAAAATAGTTATTTATTTTGAAAATCATAGTTACACAGAGAAATGGACAGAGAGAAATCTTCCATCTACTTGTTTACTCCTCCAAATGGCTGCAATGACCAGGGCTGGGCCAGGCCAAAGCCTGGATGCACATGGGTGTAGGGGACAGCACTTGGACCATCTTCTGCAGTTTTCCTAGGCCTTTCGCAGGGAGTTGGTTTGGAAGTCGAATAGCTGGAAATGATCTGGGGCCCATAAGGGAGGCCCTATCAGGCACAGCTTCTCAGCTACAGCTCTGCCTGCTGTGTTACAAGACTGGCCCAGTTAGTACCCTTATGAGTACAAACCAGGGAAGCCCTTCTAGATACAAAAGGGCAAGGCTGTACTTTTTAAAGTTTTCTTGAAGGTAATATCATGTTGCTAAAATATTGCTATGGTAGAAGAAAACAATAAGCCCATGCTCCTGACCCTGCAGAAAATCTGTTCCTGTATGTACAGACAAAGTTGTAGGAAGAGGAAAATAAGTCTGCCAAATGCTTAACAATACTTCAGGGTGACTGGTGTGTGCTTCACTAACACGCAATTAGACGTTTATTAGTGTTTCTGTACACGCCATCAATTCGGGGATAATTAAGGTGCAGAAAGGCAGCGGAGATATGCTAACAAACGGCTATGAACAATTCTCAGCTACAAACCTGGTTTGGGCTTCTGGAGTCTTTACAAAGTGACGGTTCTCGTGGATGAATGGTTTGCCCATTCCAATCTTTCTACCCACTGACATCATTAAGAGAAGCAAGGTCTCCAGCACTGAGAAAAGGGCTTTGTGGTGTCAATCACAGTGATTTTCCTTTGCAGGAAACATAATTACCAGTGACACAGGGTATATTCCCTTCCCTAAGATGAAGGGCAGGGTAGTTAAGTACCGCTGCCACGTCGACCGCGATAAATGGCTTTTCATGTTCCTTTCCATGTTTTCCTCTCTTCCAGATTTAGATTAAATTATAAACTTGTCTAATTGCAGAAATAGTTACTCCTCCCATCCTTCAGTGGTCAGAGAGGAAATTGGCTAAACATAGCTACAGGAACCAAAGAATGTGACACAGCTTGCATCCAGCCCTACCGTCCTGACACGTTCCCTGTTCCATTTCTGTTTCCTCCTGCCACTTCCCTCCAACTGTGGGGTTGGGTACAAGCTTTTAAGCGTCCGTGACTCCGAGGGACAGCCAATCCCACATACACATTAAATGTGGCTTTACTAGATTTGCTAGGAACAAGCCCTCTATCCTCAATGCTTCGAGATGTGGGGAATTAGGGTGTACCAGCACACAGCATTTTATAGAGCATTTTAGTTCCCAGGTGCTGCTCAGAAACAGGGAAAAGAAGAAACAGGAGAGAGAAGTGAAAGATAAAGGGGGGTGAGGAGTGAACAGAAACATTTGTGTCAAAAAGTAAAAACTGTCCTAGGAAACTGTTCCTTCCTGAACTATTTTCACTTTTATAAAGCAAACCTCATCCGTCTGTCCCACCTGTATATAGAAACCCTGTGTTACTCTTTGTTATCTGATGCCCAAGGCAGTTGTACAGCACTGTCTTCCCAACATCTACTCTTTTCCCTGAGGAGGTACAGTGTAGTGTGTCAAACACTTGGCACAGTGGTTAGGATGCAGCTGGGGATGCCCGCACCCGCCCCACATCTGGGTACAACTCCTGGCTTTGCTCCCGATTCCAGGTTCCTACTAATCTACATCTTGGAAATCAGAAATATAAGGCAGAGGGTTGGGGCAGCCAGCAACACAATCAAATGAATTCCCTGCCTTACTTTTCAGTTTCTCTCTTTACCTTCCTTAGTCAACTTGGGAATCATCTTATTTGAAGACATACAATGTTTATTTCTGTTCAAAAACATAGTATTAAACAAATGCTTGCTATTTATTAGCTAAAATATCATTAGCTTTGGACAATATATAGAAGCTCTTCAATTTTCTTGATTGCTACATTGTGTATAGGCATATGTTAGCAAATTTTTATAATGTTACTGTCTCAACAAAAATCTAAATAGAATCAACTACATAATTCACAAAAGTTCTGAGTTCAATGATACTTGTATTTCTATTACTTTAAAAGAAATTTTAATGCAGGAATAAAAAAGAAAAATATATTAACAAAGCTGATAAACACAAGTTATTTCAAAGTTGGTGTACTCAAGTTATTTCAGCTCAATCAAATCTGATTCAATGTCTTACCACTTAAAAGAATATTTGAATTTAAAAAATTTTATTGGAAAGGCAGATCAGATTTACAGAGATGAGGAGAGACAGACAGAAAGATCTTCCATCTATGATTTACTCCCCAAAGGGCTGTAACAGCTCGAGATGAGATGATATAAAGCCTGGAGCCAGCGAGCCTCCTCCGGGTCTCCCACGTGGGTGCAGAGATTCAAGGCTTTGGGCCGTCCTCAACTGCCTTTCCAGGCTACAAACAGGCAGCTGGATGGGAAGTGCAGCAGCTGGGATATGAACTGCTGCTCATATGGGATCCAGCACTTACAAGGTGAGGATTTAGCTAACTGAGCCATCATGCCAGGCACAGGATATTTTTCCATTCTTACTACTTAAAAGGATTATGTCTCTAAACTTTTTTTCCCTCAAGTTAGTTCTTTGTAACCTGGTGGGAGCCAAGAAGAGACTCCAGCCTCTGAACAGCCAAATGTTATCCAGTTAACTACACCCCAACCCCCAAAGTAACTAGCAGAATTCAGGTAAGAGGTGAGTCACTTCTAGTTGGCTGAGGATCTGTGAAAGAAAGGACAGGATCATTCAAGCCTTCAATGTAACTTCTTCTTTTTTTAAAGTTAAGATTTATTTATTTGAAAGGCAGCAGAGGTGGGGGGAGAGAGAGATAAAGAGAGAGAAATTTTTCATCCACTGGTTCACTCCCCAAATGGCTGCAACAGCTTGGGCTAGGTCAGGCTAGGCTAGGTGCCTGGTGCTTTCTCTGTGTCTCCCATTGAGTGCGGACACCTAATCACTTGGGCCATCTTCCACTGCTTTTCCAGGCTATTAGCAGGGACCTGGATTGGAAGTGGAGCAGCCAAGACACAAACTGGTGCCCATATGGGATGAAGTGCTGCAGGCTTAACACACTATGACACAGCACTAGCCCCTCCAAGGCAATTTTGCCATGAGGAAACACGATTAGGAAGAAAGAGGGACATGGGTACCATAGGCAGAGGAAAGAAAGGTGAGCAAATACTGAATGACATGGTTAGTAAAACAATGCACAGAGGAGGAAAAGTAGGTAAGATGTAACATAGCAAAGAGATAATTTAAAAAGCTAGATGTGGACTAGATTATAGAGACATTTGATATTTCAACCTTTACTCAGGAATTTTTGTCCAACAGACTCATTTCTCAAAAGCAGAATCAAAAAGAATGGTTATCTTAGGAGGCTAACGGAAGAAGTGGTGGTGGTGCAAGGTGTATTGCAAATAGCCGTTAAGTGACAATGTCAAAATGAGAAAGTGACCAAAGTAGACACGTTATTTAGCCATCAGTATTGTACAGAGCCCCACAGAATCTGGGCTGACAAGAAAACTCAGAAATACCATGTATTTAAAATTTTGGTATTTTATTCATAATGGATTGTTTTGGTACTCCCTTCAATTTTTTCAAAACAGTGTTTTAAAATCTTACTTATCTTGATGACCAAGCTTTTTGTGACCTCTTAAAATCTGTACCCGAGGTGAGTACCTCAACTTTTCATACAAAGTCTTACATAGGCTCAGAAATTCCTAAGGTTTATTGTACAATAACTGACTTTAAGTCATCAAAATTGAAAAGATTAATATCTGTTACAATGTGAAAGAGATCAGGAATGCCCAAACTTTGTTTTTTTTAGAATTTCCTTTATGTTGTTATTAAAATGACTGAGCTGGTACAGAAGGAAGGCATTTCTTCAGGTAAGACATCCGTTCAAGTGAAATGCAGCGCCTGCCAGTTAATAAAACATCTCAGCGCTGAAACAGAATCTAACTGGTTTCAATCAATAAACTTGCCACGTGCTAGGAACTCAATGAGTAGCTCAACTGAGCAGGAACCCAGCTACACAACATGGTCAGTGTTCTCTGAGTATTGTCTGTTTCTCAGGTTACCCAGGGGAAAAAAACAAAGTTTTTTCCAAAAACCACCCCCATACTTCTGGGCCAGCGTCCAGGTCGATGTCTTACCTCTCTTTGGTGGCCGCACATGATACGTGAAGTCATTGATGACCAGCTTGAAGTCATCAAGGAGGAGGAGGTCTATTCCCGTGGAAGCAGCAACGCGTACCCCATCTGTGGAAATGTTAGGTAAGACCTGTCATATGTCTGCCATTACAGAAGTATGATCAGGAAAAAGTGACCCCTAAAACAGACTTTAGCAATTATCTCTTTCCTGTTTATAGATTGTAGTTAGTGATTTTTTTAAAAAAAGATTTATTTTTTTTTTTAAATTGGAAAGTCAGATTTTAAAGAGGAAAGACAGACAGAAAGATCTTCTGAAGCCAGGAGCCAGGAGCTCTTCCGGGTCTTCCATGTGGGCATAGGGTCCCAAAGCTTTGGATCGTCCTCTGCTGCTTTCCCAGGCCAGAAACAGAGAACTGCATAGGAAGTGGAGCAGCCAGAGTAGGAACCAGCGCTCACATGAGATCTTGGCGCATGCAAGACGAGGACTTTAGCCACTATGCTATTGAGCCAGGCCCTGTAGTTAGCTTTTTACCTCATCTCCAGTTCTATGCTAACCAAAGCTTAGATTTAGGCTGAAGCTCTTTCTTCTCAGGCCTCAGGTTTTGTGATGATTTAGCAGCTGCTTTTCTTGCAGAACTGTATGAATGAGTGAAATAATGACTGGCCACAGATCTAGAGATTTCTGTTTATGATGGAAACAATAAAAGCAAAAATTCTAACATTATGGAGCTTTGCAGTAGAGTCACCGTTAAGCTGCCAGTAATTCAGTTGGGAACAATGCTAACAATAGCAAACAACACGGTCCACTAATTCTGTTACTAAATGAGTTGAGAACTGACTATAATTAAGATACTTGCAATTACAGACAGGCAGTTATTGCTTACAAGTGGTGAATCCAGATGAAGGGTAAGTAGGTGTTTACAGTATTAATTTTTGTAGTTTTTAATAATTTTCAAATTTTCAAAGAAGAAACAGGTCAAAAATTAAGGCATTTTAAGAAATAAGCAAATGAAACATGGGACTGGGTACTGTAGCACAGCATGATAAGCTCCCGCTGTGAAAACCCATCTCCCATCGGGGAGGTGTCAGTTCAAGACCTGGACGCTGTTTCTGATCCGGCTGCCTGTAATGCATCCTGGGAGGCAGCAGGTACGGTCTAGCCGCCTGGGCTCCTGTTCCCCACATGGGAGACCCAGATGGAGCTTCGTGCTCCTGGATTCTGCCTGGTCCAGTCCTTGATGCTGTGCGAATCTGACAAGTGAACCAGTGGATAAAGGTGTGAACACTCACTCTCTCTGCCTTCATAAGCAAATAAAATAAAACATAAAAAAACACACATATCTCATGTCAAATGGGAATTTTTAGTGCCTTAATATTCTTTTCAAACCATGAAGTTTCATTTTTTGTAAACTTGTATGTGAAAAACATAATAAGATCCAAGAGAATTTATATTTCCTATCTCTAGAGATGAAGACTCAACTGGTAGAATAATAAATTCTGCAGCAAAGGTGCTGATCAAAGGTCTGGATAATGTGAAAATGGGACTGGCTGTTCCTCCTTGTCTGTGGCATTCTATGTGAGTAGTTTCTGAATGAGACACATGCTAAACCTGGACATTCTGAGAACCCCTGGAAAAGTAGTAGCTTTGCTTCCTGGCATATGCTAATCAAAAAATATGTTTTACAAAGTTAACACTATGTGACCTTTTCACAGTGATGTGTGCCTAGATACAGCCTGGGGGAAATGAGGAGTGTCTGGGAATTAACAAGGAATGTGTGTGTGGGGGGGACACAGGAAAGGCATTGTTTGGCTTGGCAGTTGAACTGCTGTTAGGGACACCTGAGTTTGGGTTTCAGCCTCACTCCCTTTCCAGCTTCCTGCTAAAGTTCACCCTGGGAGACAGTAGGCGATGGTTCAGTCTTGAACCACCTGGGAAACCTGGATCAAGTTTCCGGCCTCAGGCTTGCTCTGCTTCAGCCCCAGCTGCTGCCAGCATTTAGAGAGTGAACCAGAAGATGGACGTTCTTTCAAATAAACTTGTCAAAAATGAAAAATAATACCTGGTGAGTAGACTGCAACTCTGTCGATTCCCCGGTCTTCTTCCTGCAGTTGTCGTAAAAACACACCCACAGAGTCGGAGATGGGCTTGAGCGTGAACTGGCAGCGCTCGCGCCGGGACGGCAGCCTCACGGATATCACAGGCAGTCCGTTCTGGTAAACCACTGTCACATCTGAAGCAAAAACACCACCACATACGATCATTGGAGTTAACGATACGTGGAAGCTCTTTGCCCAGGGCTGGGAGTATTTTATTATTATTGATGATTAATGGGGTTTGAAATATTTTCAAATCAGAGTCAAGCTGGCAGCAATGACACGCTGGGGATCCCTCCCTGCAGAGGCACCAAAAGCCACACACACTCCAAAACTCCTTTCACAAGAGCTACAGAAGCTGGACGAGACTGCAGAGTCTCACCTTGTTAGAATCCTAAGAAAAGTCACACTGCAGAAAGGGGATAGCCTTGTCAGTCTTCACAGACGTATTCATGGGCTTAGAGAGAACCAGCAGGTTGTTCAGAATTTCTAGAAAGACAGCCATAAAAGCAGCCTGCTGGTTGTGACTCACCGTAAGGCACAGTTGATGCTGTGCAGCAGCAGACACCAGGGCTGCCAGAGAACCATGACCTCACTGAAGAGCCAAACAAGATTTGAGAAACCAATGTCTAGGAACTGAAACGCCATGTTCAGATCAAGTTTTCAAAATGGCTGTTTCAGGGAAACTCAACAAAACGCAAGAGGATACAGAGAAAGGATTTGATATTTAACAGAGTCTTGATAAGGAAATAGAAATGAAAAATAAATCAAGCAACTTCCCTTCAACTAAAAAATACACTAAGTGAAATTTAAGAAATGTAGAAGCAAGTATCGGGAGAAGACGAGACGGAGCAGAAGAAATCGGTGAGCTTAAAGTCAGGCTATTTGAAAATTACAATTGAAAAGAACAAAGAAGAATGAATTGGGAATAATGAAGAAAGCTTTAAGGAAACAGGGAATAGCAATAAAAGAACAGCTATGTGAATTACTGAGATTCTAGAGAGATGCGAGAATGCCAAGGTGGCAGAACGTATGTTCAGAGATGTAATGACAGAAAACCTCCTGAGCCTAGACAGAGACAATTTAATCCAGCTTCTTGCTAAGCTGCCTTGGAGGCAGCAGATGATGGCCCAAATATTTTGCTTTCTACCAAAGTAGATCTGTGTGAGAGATCCAGAAAAAACTCCTGGTTTCACCCTGGACTAGCCCTGTTGTCACAGGCATGAGAGAAACGAACAAGCAGATGGAAGATCTCTTTCTCTGCTACTCTGCTTTTCAAATAAATAAATCTTCAAAAAAAAAAAAAAAGAAGCAGATTTAAATAGATGTTTCTCCAAGAAAGATACACAAATGGCCAATAGGTATATGAATAAATGCTGAGCATAACTAATCATCAAGGAAGTGCACATCAAATTCACAATGAGATAGCACCTTACTTCAGCGCAAACAATAATTATCAACAAGACAAAAGATTAAAAGTACTGGTGGTGGTGGGTCTGGCATGGCGGCATGGCCAGCTAATCCTCTGCCTGTAGTTATGGCATCCCATACAGGTGCCAGCTGTTCCACTTTGAATTCAGCTTCTTATTTATGGCCTAGGGGAGCAGCAGAGGATGATTCAAATTTTTGGGCTCCTGCACCTATGTGGGAACCCAAAAAAGCTCCTGGCTTCAGATCGGCTCAGCTCTAGCTGTTGCAGCCACTTGCGGAGTGAACCAGAGGATGACATTTCTCTTCACCTCTCCTTCTCTCTATAAATCTGCCTTTCCAATAAAAATAAACAAATCTTAAAAAAAAAAAAAAGAAAGAAAATGTGGCACACATACTGATGAAATTTTATTGTGTGTAACAGCACGGATGGAAACAGAGGTCATCATGTTTAGTGAAATAAGCCAAGTACAGTACAGAATAATAAACATCCCATGACAGCACTCATACACGGAGTCTAAAAAACAGGTGATCTCATGGAGATTAGAATTTAATGGCAGTTACCAGAGGCTGGGGAAGAATGGGGAAGGAGAGATGGTGAGGGGTTGATGCGTACTAGGTTATATCAAGATAAGAATAAAGTTCTACTGCACAGCAGAATGAAATAAGCCAGTCAGAGAGACAATACCATCTGTTCTCCTTATCTTGGAGCTAATATAAATAAATGTCTGTATGCATCAGTTTTCCTGCAAACAGTGTTTTGTCAAACTTTATTTTAAATCTTTATCAAATAAATACTTAAAAATGATAAACAATTATAGTTTTAATTAACCATGGCTACTTGAGAATTAACTGTGTTTGACATGTTTTTAGTCTGACTGTTGTTTATAGTCCTTTCATACACTCCTGCTGAGCCAACTTTTATTTTTTACTTGTAGTACCGTTTATTTAGTGGAACCTTAAGCCTTTTGCTATTAATGTAAATTAACAATATTATCCCCAAAATAAAAAAGGGAAAAAAAAAAGAAGTCTTTTAGAATTGAACTTTTTTCAAAGAATACTTAAGAATATCCCTTTTAATTTTTTGTTGAACTGACTTCTCACTTAATTTATTTCTCAGGAAATGGGCCAGCAACTGACTTCTGAGTGGTTCAGGAGAGGCCTTCTTGAGAACATGAAGTCAAATTCTTGGTATTGGTGAATAAATGCTAAACTTCCACTTAGCAAGACTTTCTTAAGTGGACAGATTGTTGGGCCAGATTCCACAGCCTGCAGGAGGTAGCTCTTTGAGACCACAAACTTTCAAGAATTCCTACAGAATGACATCGGTTTTTTTAAGGTTTATTTTTTTTTATTTTTTTTTTTACTGGAAAGGTGGATATACAGAGAGGAGAGACAGAGAGGAAGATCTTTTGTCCGATGATTCACTCCCCAAGTGACCGCAATGGCTGATGCTATGCTGATCCGAAGCCAGGAGCCTCTTCTGGGTCTCCCACGCGGGTGCAGGGTCCCAAAGCTTTGGGCCGTCCTCTGCTGCTTTCCCGGGCCACAGGCAGGGAGCTGGAAGGGAAGCGGGGCTGCCGGGATAGAACCGGCACCCATATGGGATCCCGGGCGTGCAAGGTGAGGACCTTAACCACTTGCGCCACCGCGCCGGGCCCCAGAATGACATCTTAAAGAACTCTGACGCGTGAGACTCTTACTCAAGGACAGTCAATCCGTAGTCATAGTACAATATCATATCCCAGGAACAGATAAATAAGCATTTCACTCAATGGACATATTTTGAGACAATCCCTTTCATGTGCTCATTAACATCTTTCTGAGCTTAACCTGATGGAAAAGTTAAATGATCTGGGATTTCACTGAGAGAGAGAGAGAGAAAGAGACACTGTTATAAGCTGGACAATTGAAGAAATAGCTCCAAGAATATAGCACAAAATTCCTTATTTCCTTATCTTTTCCTCAGCAGTCTTGATTGGCAGCTCCGGCATCCATACGAACTCTGGTTCCAGTCCTACCTGCTATTAGCAGCACTGAGAACTACTCATTTTTATTGTATCTCTGATAATTAATATTACTTAGGAAGCTGTTCTGGCCTACTCCTGTGGTTTAGAATGTGGCTGAAGCCTCAAGGATGCAACAGATTTAATGAACTCTTGCTGTGCCTCCCTCCTTTCTGATCTTCAGGCCACGGATCCTGCCCTCCGTGGCATTCATTTCACTTCTTCCTTTCCCATAGTTGGCCTGGTCTGCTTTCTTCTCCTAGTAATGTTAAGTTAGAAGCTGTCTCAGGCTGTAAGCTGAGGCGGCACAGGGTTCAACCCATTTCTTTCCCTTTTTTTTTTCCCCAGAGTTAATAGCATAACATCTGAAAACAGTCATTTCAGATACTTTGCCTGGAGTTTGGGTTGTTTACTGAAGTAGTTCCCATTGTGAATACACAGCCTGAATTTTTACACAAAACTAAATGAAAGCAAAACCAGAAATCTATATTGCCCACTAGGCTCCTAAATCTGTGTTGTGAAAACTGTTCACCTTATATAAATTACTTTTGTAAAAGCAAATTAAAAAAAAAATCTCTAAAAAAAACTTCCAAAGCAGTAGTCTATGTTTCCTAAGAAAGAACAGGTTGAAATTAAATAGGAAGTTAATGTACAGCATATGCTATCTAAAGTTTACAACAGCTTACTGTCATTTCCCTTATTTTTTTCTAAGAGAATCATCAGCAATCAATCTAGTACCCCTTTAAAGTCTCAGGCAATGACATATGAATATTTTCTCTCCCATGGGTAGTAAAGATGATGATGATATCAAAATGTGGTAGCTGACTTACACACCTGGTATTTTCACCCCCAATGACTCATTTTCAATATGTGAAAGGAACCAACTAAACAAAAGCTCTCAGGAGGAGGTGGAGGTAAATTCAAATAAAAGATAGGAATCTGTGAATATTAAACACCTCACATTTGGAACATCAGTTTCACAGGTACTTGCTTAGGGATTACTATTTTAAAATAGCTTAGACAAAGTCAACAGAGAAAATGAAGGTCTTTCACACCTAGTTTAACTTTTTTTCCGCCCTTCAAAGAACATGGAGCCTCTCAAAGGAATGAAATGTGAAAGCTTTGAGAAACTCAGCATGGAATAACAAATTTCAGAACTGAGAAACGTTTACTATAACACTGCTTTTGAAATAACCCCCCAGGTCTCCTTCCTCCCCACACACTAGACTGTACTGCAAATGTTACCTTTCTTGGTTTGTAATCAAAAAAAAAAAATAATTATTACCAAACTCCCTTAAGTTTAACAATATATAAAATACAGGGTGACTGTAGTGAAGTCACAATGGACAGTTACAATAAAGACCCTTGTCAGCTAGTATTCCTTATAGAGATAAATATTTTTGAAGTGTAAATGATCTCAAGGGACTGGTTGGATTTTCAAAATCTTTTATTTCTGCATCAATAGCAGTGTGTTATAATGAAACCTAGAAATTTTAGGACATCTGTTATGAACACTTAATGCCAGAAAATAAGTATTAAAAATGAAAAAGCTATGGAACTGTATGGAATAAGTAAAGCAATGCTGAACTACAAATATTTGAGGATGAAGAAAGAATAGTTTTTCTTCTCTTTTATTGAGTTGAGAGAGAGAGTTCCCATCCACATACACACCCCTGCATCAGCTACCAACTGGTAGCAATGAG